TTAAGAAATAAAACATAGAAAAATATACGTTGTATATTTTAAGCTTAACATATTACATGCATTAATCTATTCAAAGTAATATTCGAATAAACAGATTCTCAGCGTGCAGTCTACCTATAACGCTACAACGTGATGAAATCCTTAAGTTATATACCATAAGACTTAAAATACACTAACGCTTGCTAACTTCATTATCCATCGCGCTCGATGGGTATCCATAAAAAAATGAACCCCGAATCCAAAGCCCTCGGCACGTCCGCTCGTCCCTTCATACTTTTTGTATATCAACCCTCGATTTTAGTTTACGCTTTTTGTACCGCCATGCTTGCCTGTTGGGTCGCATTTGTTCACCCCTTACCATAGAAATGGTACTTTGGTTACCAAACAGGGGACAAAGGACTGCATAATCGGTTATACGCTTAGATAAATTGCTCTACAGTTGGTACGGTACTGCGTTTTTGTAGCAAAATTTTAACAAAGGCTTATGATTTATCAGCATTTACATTTGTTTTGTAGAGTCCCATCTTAACTTTTAAAAATTCGTTAGGCACGTTGTAATTTTTCCAGGTAAAAATACATTAGAAACAAAGCTGTTGAGAACTATAAGAAACAATAAAAGCAAATGTATCTTAACATTTTATATTTTCGCATTCATAAATATTATACCAGTACAATAAGATGCCGTTTGTATTAGATATGTATGGTATTTGTTGTAATATATTTCAACTACATAGTTGTTTTTACCTTAGTATATTTATAATTATAATAATTATTTTTATTATTGCAGATGTGGACGTGTTGAAATTCTTTATTATTGTATTATGGTTATTTTATACGAGGAACAAAATTTAAATTAAGTACTTATATCTACCGTCTTTAAAAATGTATGTATGTATAATATGTAACTATCGGTTTTTTAAATCTTTACAAACGTACGCAAAAAAGGGAAAATAGGCAAGCTTTAATATAAAATATCGCAAAACTATAAGTTATAGGGAAAATGTGTGAACACTACATAGGTACATATTATTATTATAAGTTTATAGCCTGAAGCCTTATCTTATAAATTTTCTATTTACTATATTTATAACATTATGGGTACTATATTTATTGCAACAAAAACTTAATTAATATAATGATTAATTATATAAATTTTGCTTTAAATTAACTACTTAGTTAATCTTTATATTATTGTTAGGTGGTAATTGCTCAATACGAGCTCATGCTATCATTATTACAATATTATTTTGAATTTAGAACGCGCTTGTTGTGGTGTACAATTGTGATAATGACGAATGATAACAAAGCCACGGTAATAGCCATTAATTTTAATGTAACAATGATAGTATTATTGTCGGCTAGTTCTTTATAAATACATATCTAGCACTGATCCCTCTAAACGTGTGTTCATCAAATTACTCTTTACTAATAAGTAATTATATTCTTGATACGATCTTGAGTGTGTTTCCCGATATATTTGGTGACATTTGTTACAACTTTCATTCTGCATTGCAATACGATTCTGTCGTAACGCCAATAAATTCATAATGTCATATTGCCTAATGTAAAAGCCTTTATTATATACTAGCATTGCCCGCGGCTCCGCCCGCATTCAGATGACCAAAAACCTAATTCTTAGGTTTACATATTAGTATACTCTTACAATGCAGTTTTTGTGTTTTTGTATTTTTTCTCAGAAATGAGATATTTTCCCGCGATAAAAGTAGCCTATATGTTGACCCGGATAACCAGCTATCATCATACCAAATTTCATCAAAATCTGTCGAGTGGTTTTCTCGTGATGCGGTAACAGACAGACAGACAGACGAAAAGACAGACAGACAGACAGAAAGACAGACAAAAATTTTAAAAACTATAGATTCGGACTCTGTATCGATAATAATGTCTATTTCAATTAGATTTCCCAAAAAATATTTAATGTACAGATTTGACTAAGTTAGAATTTTATCATATGTATAGATATTTTCAAAATATTTATTACCAAAACAATCACTAACTTTTCAGCTGAGTCCAGGAGTTCACGAAGGAATAGACATATTAACCGTATATTTATAATATTTTTTTTATATAAAATAAAATCATAATTTGTTAATTAGATTTTTCAGTCCTCTGAAGTAGCTCCATAACTCATTTCAAAAGTAGATTTTATGAAGTGTGACGTATTTTTATGTAAATATATATTTGAACAAAATCTCTTTTTATAAAAATATGGCATAGTTTGAAGATATCTAAGTTACGGCTACATTGAACAGATGTCGCGGGATCTATTTGCACACAAAAACATTTTTTGTTTCGATGCCAATATTGTTGGTAATCGTCACACAAAAAAAATATGTTATGTTATTTTCTTTGTACTGTAGCTTTTAGGTGTGCTGTTTTGGACATAATTTACTTCTTTGCTAATGGTCGTGTAGAATGGAGAAGAAACAGTAGAGATTGAGAATTGAAAGAAAGAATAAAATTGATATCGGAGATATTCACACTGAGGACATTTCATATATGAAGAACTTATTGTAAAATACTACCAAGACTAGTAGTAGTAGACTACTAACTACCAAGTTATAAGTGGAAAGGGTATAGTAAATAATAATAAATAATAAATATGTTGGGACATTATCACACAGCACCATCTAGTTCCATGGTAAGTTACAAGGCGTGTGTTATGGATACCAGATAGTTGATACACTACACATGTATAACTTTAAATACATAAATATTATAAATATAAACATCCATGGCTGGAGTACAAACATTCGTGCTCATCGCACAAATGAATGCCCTCAGCGGGGCTCGAACCCGCGACCGCTGGCACAGCAAGTAGGGTCACTACAAACTGAGCCAAACGTGTCATAGTACTTAGTAATAGGAATAGTAATAGAGAATGGTCCTCTACACTTATTTCCAAATAGCTCATATACATTTAAAGATGTGTTAATATCCAAGAATTAGCGAGTATATAAACTTAAAACAATAGGGTAACAACAGGGTATGAACAAAATACAAATTTGAAAAATGGTTTGCTTAATTGATTAATATATAGTAGATTTGCTCACGGGCTTACATTTAATTTAAATTTTGAAAATGTAAAAAGTGACGATTCAAAAGTGTTTAAAAAGGTATATGTATTTGAATAAAGTATATTTTGATTTGATTTGATAATTAACAATTATTAATTATCGAGTGGTATAATTAAGATTCATTAGTAAAATAAATTGCTTTTGGTGGGTAAATGAAAAAAATATGATACTGAATGGTGTTAAAAGCCAATTGACAACTAGAATATGAAGTTAATGATACTTAAAGTATTTAATAATATATTTTTTTCACCAAATGATTAACATAATAATGTTTTAACGGAAAGATGAAGATACCTAGTTCTAAAAAAATTAATATAAACAGAAAATGAGTAGTAAAATCGTACCTTTTTTTATACAACTCCGTATAGACAGCTATAAGGCGTGCCAGTTGAGCATAATTTACTTCGCCATTGTCACGTAGAAAACAGATAGTAGGTATAATGAAAATCTATCAAGAATATATAATTATTAATTAATCTTAATATTACGATTCCTCGTATAACAGTTTTATAAGCAGGTACACTCAAGATCTGTAAATTTGACTTGTAATGACATAATCCTACGAATATGACTTATAATAGCAGCAAGTTTGTAAGTATTTGGGTGTATTTGTTACTGTGAAGTTTCATCAACATATATGGAGTCTAGAGTAGACTCTACATTTAATCAACGTTGCTGCTTGCTACCACGCGAGTAGAGCACCGGTCAGGAACTAGTTTTATTTCTACTTACAATTAATAATGATAATTTTATTAAGATTTTTAGTAAGTTTTCTGAACAGTTGATAAATAAAGACTGTATGTATGCATGTAATATTCCAGTGAAGTTCAAGTTGATCATAAAAAATATGGTATGGTGGGTAATGCTCCAGAGACAGTAGTGTTCTTGATATTTATCTCTGTTACATATTGTAAGGTGTTTTTTGTTCAGCTTAATTTACTATACTACCTATGCCGTAGTATACAATATATGCACATTTATTTACAAAATTTATTTTTCAAAACAATAAAAACATAAATAACAGTTTATAGTCGGTACAAATTACCGAGTATATTGATATTTTTATAGTTAATAAAGATGATTCATTAGCGCTTGGCGGCTAATCTTAATAATATGGATACACCTAAACGAAAATTAAAAAGAGGGAGCAAAGCACGTGGCGATCTATCAAAACAACAAAGCCGATTGGTGTGGTGACGTTCCACCCCGGTGATATGTACGTCGTACTACCTAAATGCCTTATGTACACCGCTAGTTACTACTTCATGACTACTCCGAGCTCAGTGTGTACTGCATTGCAACGGAAAATATGCGTGTTTACCAAAGTCGTTTCGGTAGAACGGTGTCGTGTGTTGCGTCACGTTTAAGGAAATTGATAGTGCGCCGAGGTCGACGTGACTAACATAATTGTGAACTAAATGTTTATTTTTGTGACATTTTATTAAATTCAGTAAGTTATATCAATGTTAAAAGTGCATTCCACTAACATGAAATCTACTTTTTCCTATTCCGATATCTCTCACGGAGACCTAATTACGGTACAACGCCACGACGCAAGCTGTGTCCGATATAACCTTGTTACGATGAGTAAGTATATTTTTTGTCTTTCCATAAGCCTACTAACATACATAAATCATTATGAAATAGTATATTAATTGAATAATTATTCGTATTTATATATAACTATGGAGTTTATTCTAAATTTAAAGTTAGATTATAAGGTAGATATTTGTAGTAATAATATCGAACGTCACAACGAGGTTCATTATACAAGATGGCGGCGAGTGGGGAGAGGGCGCCCAGTTGGCCAGGTGCTGCCGCCGCGTCGAGTTCGGCGCTATAGCTAACTAAATAGGTACGCAGAGCAGAGTGTTGTGCATTTAGAACGTTGAAACGTTCACAATGGCTACCGCGAAAGACACGTCTACTTTCTTTCTGGAGGCAGATGCGAAACAATTTGACAGTGTTCTAAAGTTATACCCACAAGCGATTAAATTGAAAGCCGAACAGAAAACAAAGAAACCCGAAGAACTTATAAAATTGGACAACTGGTAAGTGCGAACGTCTTTCAGAGGAGAAAATGCGGCCGTGGCGTGTCAATGAACTTGTACTGTGTGTGTATCCGTGCAAACTGATTTGATAGCTACCTCCCTCGCGGACTGCATCTCTAGTCCGCGGACGGCTCATTAAAATCACTGCGTCACGTGGGATCGATGTCAAATTGACACTATCGTTTTTCCTGAAGCCAGTGTGGGGAAAAATATCGGCGCGTTTAGGCGTTATAAAATGGTGGCTGTCCTTTACGTATCATCGCTCGTAAAAATGCATTTATTATGTACTTGTTTCATAGCGTTAACTCGCTAACTCTATAGATTCCTTTATTAAATTATATCCTTGACTATATACAGGCAACGTTATTGTATTTCTAGTAACTTTTAGCCAGATAATACAATGCTTTGTTGAATACTGTTCACATCCGTTCAAAATGGTGACTTGCCATTTACTACGGTTTTATATCATTAATATAAAACGAGTTTAAAATATTTCTAACCCTTATTATATATTAGATGTTTAGTTTAACCGTGAAGAACTTAAATCTTCTTAAAAATTTAGAAGTTATTCTCAGAATTCTTGAGAAATTTATGTTATGAGTCATCAAGTTAGCTAAAAAAAATGCTGAAGTAACTGTTGTTTTCACAAAACAATTTATAATTTAAATAACAAATAATATCATTCATTTATTACTAAAAATAAATCAAAGATTAGATATTCTCAAGGTCAAATATTTGATTTATATTAAGTAATCCACGTGTCCTAATTATTAATTAAATCAACTGTTAACTGAGTTACCTACAAAAACATTTATTAATATATCTTTTAATTATATTGGTCGTTTTAAAGATATTAATATTTATTATTATATTTACATTTAAATTAAAAATATCTGCCCCTAATTTAATTCATTCATATATTATTTAAATATAAACAGATGTTTACTATCCATATAATATTTATTTTATTCTGTTATAGGTATCAAAATGAACTACCAAAGAAAATCAAATCAAGGGGCAAAGATGCACACATGCTGCATGAAGAGCTGGTGCAACTCATGAAATGGAAACAAGCTGTAAGTATTGCAGTATGACTTTTTATAATATCAATTTACTATGACAATTACTTATATGGTGTATGTAACTGTCCTTGTAAAATATTATTTAGAAACAATGAATCCTCTAAAAAAATGATTTTATAATGAATTATTATTTTTAATGTTTAAATTAAATTACACAATATTAGAATTTAAAAAATGATACACAAATTCAATTTATATTGAAATAGTACATGTCTTATCCATATATTTTGCTTGTTTTAGAGAGGGAGGTTCTATCCACAATTATCATATCTCATAAAAGTAAACACACCACGAGCAGTAATGCAAGAGACTAAGAAAGCATTTAGAAAACTGCCCAATATTGAATCAGCAATGACAGCACTCAGTAACTTGAAGGGTGTAGGAACTGCCACAGCATCAGCACTTCTCGCGGCAGCCAGCCCTGAAATAGCGCCATTTATGGCCGACGAGTGCATACAAGCTATCCCAGAAATGGAAGGAAGCGACTACACTGCCAAGGAATACCTCAATTTTGTAAAACATATTAGAAATGTCTGTGATAGATTAAATAAGGTTGGTAAATAATAATATTTTAATTTTCTGCAATAACCCTAGAACTTTAAACTATTAAATTTAAAATGATATAAAATTGTTAACTCCATCGAAGTTGTTAAATTTTTGATTTTAAAAAAATACAGTTGAATTGAGAACCTCCTCCTTTTTGAAGTCTGTTGAAAATAGGAGGTTGTCTATAACTATATAACACGTCCGTTAAGTGAAACAATTTATATGAGCCCATATTTATTTTATCACTTAGTTTTAATGTTCTATAAATCATTGTTATATAAAGTAATTATTAGTGACATTATTATTTATATTATGTTAATATTGGTTATAAAAAAATAAAGATTTCATAGATTTGTATAATGTGGGTAGATAAATGATTTGCAGGAACAAAATGGCTGCGGTAAGAAGTGGTCACCACACATGGTAGAGCTAACGATATGGACACACAACATTTTATCAGAGCTGCAGCCAGAACTCCTCGGAAAGGAGCGTACCATCGCGCCCACGAATGGCGGCTCTCCCCTACCCAGTGATGAGAGCAATCTAGAACCACCCTCCACTAATGGCAATGGTAAGTAAAATTTTGTGATTACATGAATACCTCAAATGAACATGATTACTGAAGTCAAAAAAGTGATGCAAAAACTGAATATTAACTGTAATAGGAATCTACATAATTCTTTGTATGACATATTTTGGTTCTGTAGCGAAAAGACAAAACGGAATCCTTATAATTTCATTTGCCAGCAGTTGCTTGTTTATACTCCTTTAAGTCGTAAACTTTTTGTCAAGTATTGGTTAATATTTTTTTTTTATTTAAATTCAGAAAAAATGATTATATTATATAGAGTAGTTTTTGAGGCATAAGATATTCTCAATGAAAGACTGTTAATTCAGTGGCTGTAAAATTAATTTGTGGCTATTGTAGTATCTTTGAGATATATTATGTAATGCAAACTTATTTTTTATAAAGTAAATAGTGTATGTAATGCGTAAATATTTTATTTTGTTTTTAAAATAAAAGAATATAAACATTTTATTATAAAGGTCACAAGTCACACTTGTCTAATTTTTACTTAATTAGCTATTCTTAAAGTAATTTTAATTCTAATGAACGTCATGACAACTATAAAGATATTAATCAAGAAACCTTGTTGATTTTTAAAAAGCAATTTTTCCTGCTACTGAATGACACACCAAATTAGTCATAGGCATACCTTTGAATGTGAAAGTTTGTAGGCAGCAGTTGTGTTTTAAAATTGTAATGCTGAATATAAAGTAACCATACTGGCACGTAGGAACAGAATCTTAAACAATTTTTTACGAACGACATTTCATGTAATGTTTTTATTACTTATTATGTTTTTTTAAACACCATAATTTGGTGTTTAAAAACATAGTAAGTTAAATATAAATATATTTTAATATTCTGTTAATTTAAAATATTTATATTACTGAAAGTGTATTAAAGATACATGTAAGATAGATTGTACTAAAGATTTTTATACAAATTCTTTTTTTTTTCTTCTGGAGGAGGATTTTTCCTTCGAACAAAATACTTTTCAATTTTGATGATATCAAAATCAGATCTTTTCAGAGCTTTATTATTAACGTAATGTTCGTTTTAACGTTTAGATATCGATTATATTATACATTTCCCAGATATGATATATTTTCCTGCAGTAAAAAGTATCCTATATGTGGACCCGGGTAACCAGCTATCATTTTATCAAAATCTGTCCAGTGGTTTTCTCGTGAGCGTTCACAGACAGACAGACAATTCTAAAAACTATACATTCGCCCTCTGTATCCGATAATGATGACTATTTCAATAAGATTTTTCAAAAAATATTTAATGTACAGATTCGACTCAGAATTTTATTATATGTATAGATATAAAAACATGGCCAATTTATTAGAAGAAGCCTGTTGGCGAATAGATAGCATATGTGTGCCATGAGTGATCTAACAAAGATATGATATCATTTAACTTACGACGATAATTTTGCGTCTAAACCCATTTGAATTAACACTAGTGGATACACTATGTATTTAAATGACTGGCAGATGTTTAATTTAAATACTAAACATAATATTTCTCATAAGTCTTTGTTTTGTTCCAAAGCAATTCTATTGTACTTTTTGAGATAGTTCAACCATAATGCTCATGATTTTATGATTGCTAATTACACACAGTTTCACAGCAATAATTACATTGGACCTAAAGTAAATCATTTATTTGTGCTCGTATATACTTAATGTAACTTAGAAACTTCATTTTATCATAATAAATTCTTAAACCACCACCGCCCCCTTCAAATCAATTTTTTCTATAAAGTTTTGCGTTGGCCATAAAACCCCAAGACACGATATCGGTAAGATTAGGTTAGGAGATAGGGTTTTAGAAAACCAGCTAAACGGAAATAACTTAAAAAATAAGGACTTACTGGCTACCAAATTATACGTTTTGAGTTAATTATATGTATTAATGTATTATATTCATTAAGGAATATCTGAAAATAATGTATGGTAAGACAGTTATAGTTACTATGTATGACTTTGACATACCATTGAACTATTTCATTATTTTTGCTTCTTTTTTTTATCTTTTTATCTTCATCCCTAAATATTATGACAAATAAAATAAGTTTAATTACATATATAATTGGCCTGAATATAGACCTTAAATTACGAACCTCGCCATCTATGAATACTACGAATAGCTACGCGAGTATACTATTTATTCATTCATTCATTATCAATTTAAATATTTCTACTAAGTTACTAATACATATAAATAATTATAAATATTTTTTTATTTTTCTGTTTTTTTGTTCAATATATTTTTTTAGATAATTGAGCGTTATAAAATTCAGTAATTATGCAATTTGAAGACTAAAAATATAGAAAAATATAAATGAATTAAAAACATTATAATTATACATACATACACGATAATTTATAAATATTATTTTTGACTCGTTTTCGCCAAAACTAACTTAAAACCTTGATTTTAGAACTAATCATTCATTTTTTCTGTTTAGTAAACAGAGAGTAAACGGTTTATTTATGTATGAATGATGTGATACAACGAAATAAAATTGTAAGGCTTCAATATAAATGACATTTATATTTACGACGCTTTTTATTTGGCTGGATAAAATTTTACACTAGAGAATGTTAAAGTTGTTTTGTTTTAGGAGTTTCATTATAACATGGAAAATTATTTACGTGAACCATTTGTTGGACATTCATTTCGAGTGTAAACTTTTGGTATTTTTCTGTTTGTAAAGATTTTCTTCAAAATCTCTTTAAAGAAACTTCATTCATCAAAGTCTAACTCACTCATGTATTCAAACAATTTGAGATTTTAATCTCCCATTGTAAAGTTTATTGATTTGTTTTTAAAATTGTCTTTAGAATTAAATGTTTTTCATTACTTGTAAAAGTTTTTTATTATTATTGACGAAAATCGCGGGTTTGTTCGGTTAATGTAACCGATCTATTAATGTCGGCAACCGGAATACACTATTGGAACAGGAAATTATAATTAACGAATTCTTTACACATACATATTAGTGGTTGGATAAAATTATAAATAAATATGTTGGGACATTAATGATGTTATTAATATGCAGAATTAAAAAAAGAAGCTACTAATACATAAATGTTTTCTTGATTAAATTCCGAGATTAATAATTTAAAATTTGTTACAGGTAAATTAGGAGTAGAATCAGTAAATGATGACACGACGTCGTGCACGGAAGACTCTTTGGACGCGAAAGGAGCGTCGCCCGCCACGCCCGCGTCGCCCTCGGACAACTCCGACTCGGCGCTAAGCACGCCACGCGCTAAAAGGTAAAATGTCAAAAATATTACACGACACTTACCCTGTAAGTTATAAATGACATTCTGTAGTTGTACAGAATGTCATTTATAGTGATATGTTTCATGGTATATCTTACAGGTATATCTACCATTTAAAGAGGTAAACTTTGTTAGTTTGTGACGTTGTAGGGGGTAATCTCTGAATATATCGAACCGATTTAGATGAAATTTGCTAAGAATATACTTTGAGACCCTGGGAAGGATGTAGGATACGTTTTTCCGGAAATTGATCCCGGAAACCATCCCTTAAAGGGGTGAAAATGGGGATGAGTTTGTAGGGGAATCAAGGTAGGGATACGAACCCGAGCGAAGCGAGGGTGAGTCGCTAGTGATACTATAAAAGAAGGAGATCTACATAATATTTATAGTCGACATGTAATTATTTTTACTTTCATTTTATATGTATGATGAAATATTAATTACTCATCAAGATAAAAATAAAGAAAAACAATAAATTCTTAAACATACATTGAAAATATATTACAGAAACGTTGCACTTTGACTTAATTATACTTTTAAATTGGAACGGTAATCATACATTGAGGTAATATATTCTAGGGACTTTCCCACACTGGATTCCGCAATTTTATAAAAACAAACAACGACTGAATGGGCGTAATATTACGTAACACATTTTAATAGAAAGTAATGATCGTTGCAGACTAATAGAGGAGGCGAGTTCAGCGGAAGAGAACTCGCTGGGCGACTCGCTGGACGCGCCGCCGCCCGCCGCCAAGCGCCTGCGCGAGGCCACGCACTGACCCGCGCCCGCCGAGCGACCCCAGCGCGCCTATAAATAGCTTTTAGACTAAAATATTGTACCTAGGTAATTTATTTTTCAATTCCGTTTAATTTTAAACTTAGCGTTAAGTTTTAAGTACCGGTCGATTTTTGTAAGTTTTATAGGATATATTCGGATGCGTTTCGACGGACTCCCCGCGATGCGAGGGAGCGGCTCAGGTTAGGGCCTAGTGTTAGGTTTCGTTCGTGTTTCGTGATGATTTTACCGTTTGAGAGCTCGCATCCCGCGTGACATTCCAATGATCGTATCGAGAGGGCGGCGAGGGCGCTCTCACACTCCATTGCCTTATGACACAGTCTGCCCGCAGAGTTTATATGCAACAAGATAATACAAAGGTCGTGTTACCCGGGCCCCGGGCACACGGGCCCACAATGTAGTTTTTATTGAACAAATATAAGATATTAATTTTATAATGTTGCATTTTTAATTATTTACCCCCCCTATCCTTCGACTTTTTTTACTTTTATCCAATAAGTCATTACAAATCATTAAAATAGCCAATGATAAATTAACTTATTTTTAATAATCATATACACAACAGGAAGCCTTTCAAGTTTATTTATCCTACAAAAATTTTTCATCAAAATTTCTATGACCAAAAAATAATTGATTTAAAGCTAGTAAATAACATATTAATTATTAAGTAAATTTTATATGAATTTTTTATATGTAATTTTTTTATATTAAACATTTAAATAACGCTTATAATACATATCACATGATATTGTATGTGCATAATTTCTATTTATTACCTGAATAAAAATATTAATTATATATATGTACCTATAATGAAGTAAAAATATATTTTTCTTTTTCTATTTAGAATTATTTTACATAAATATTACCTACATATTATTACTATTGACAAATATCAGAACACAGAATGTATACAACTAAAGTTATCAAATAAACGCTTAGCGTTGATCCCCATTTATGAGCCCACGTCGATACGAAATATGTTAGCGGCAGGAACAATGAGTACTGTTATTCATATTATTGCTATCGCTCACGTTTCACTCTTATCGATGTTTTAGCGGTAAACATTTTATCGATCCTATGACGAAGTTGTGATGCGAATTCAATATTTAACATTTTAATAAGCTATAAGTATTTTTAACAAAAATATGATTTTTATAAACATTTTTTTAAATATGTAACACAGCACCATCTAATTCTATGGTAATTTACGATGCTTGTGTTATGGATACCAGATAGTTGATACACTACACATATATAACTTTAAATACATACACATTATAAATACAAACACCCATGACTCGAGTACAAACATTCGTGCTCATCACACAAATGAATGCCCCTAACGGGACTCGAACCCGTAACAGCTGGCACAGCAAGGGATTCATAACAAACTGAGCCAAACGTGTCGTCAATTTAGATTGGTGTATGCTTTCAAGCCCTTTCATTTAATACATAAATGGAAGGGCTTAGACGCATACAAATTACCTGTTTTATAATTTAACTAGCATTACCCGCGGCTCCGCTCGCGTTCAGATGACCAAAAACCAAATTCTTAGGTTTTATATATTAGTATATTCTTACTTACGGTTTTTGTATTGTTTCTCAGAAATGAGTAATTTTTCTGCTGTAAAAAGTATCTATAAGTTGCTGATGATAATAGTAACTATATGTTGACCCGTATAATCAGCTATGAACATACCAAGCTTCATCAAAATCCGTCCAGTAGTTTTTCTGTGATGCGGTAACAGACAGACAGAAAAAAATTCTAAAATCTATAGATTCGGCCTCCGTATCGATAATAATATTTATTTCATTAAGATTTTCCAAAAAATATTTAATGTACAGATTTGACTCAGAATTTTATTGTATGTATAGATTATTATTCAAAGAAATCATAATATGTAGTTTTTCGAAACTATTCAGCATAGAACCTAGACCTCCGGATCTGCACCTGTACATGCTAGCCACTAGACCACCGAGGCAAGTCAACACCCTTCACGCATGTCACACCGCACATTGTCATAACCATTTTAAATTACTCTTGAATAATAAAACTTATGAACAATTAAATACGAGGTGCCCTGACACATAAACAGTCATTTAACCAAATATTCCAAAAAAGCATACGCGTTTTGTGCATGACCCTGAACATATCACAGCGTTGAAAGGTGTCTGTTGACTGTATAAATTAACTCGGTAGTATAAATAAACACCAGTCAGCGCTACATAAACCTTTAATATTTGATCACAACAAACATTGCTTATTAGAAAACCTATACAAGAAATAATTTCTTTATTATACGTACTATGGACTTATCCTCGCTACGCTCGAGTACGTCTCTACACATAATATGTGTAGTAACTTAGCGAAATCTGTACATTAAATATTTTTTGAAAACGATGACTAACATATTGTGTACACAATATAGACCCTAAAACAATAGTTATTAAAAAAATTGTCTGTTTGTCTGTGTGCGTTTTGCGCTAAACCACGGTAATGTAATGCATACAGTATTCCAACTCGGGCCTGTCCTTGAAATAATTACCTACAGCCGAGCGGCACGTACCCACGCCACAGGGCTGCCCGACTGCCCGCCGGCCAGCATTTTAATTTCATCTACCTACTTGAGTTTCTTTCTAATTTTGTGATTTCAAATATTATATTTTTTATTTAAAACTATTATAAGTAGATTTAATTAAAAAATCTCAAATTTATAAGGGTGGTATGTGACCCGTATATTTATAAATATTTGCGCCTCGACTGAGACGTACGAAAAGCTTTATTGTTAAATTTAATAGCATAAAGAATCCGCATTCGGATAAAAAGTTTAATTAAAAATACTTTGATTTTTATTTTTAAAACATACAATGTCTCGATACTTTTTTGTTTGACATTAGCGAAGTTACGGGAGGAATAAAATGTTTATTTTTGTATCAAATTATAAAAGTTACATAATATAACCACCTTATACAATTTTCGTATCCAACTTATAATAAGTATAATACTTTCTTAGATATTCGATTCGAAATAATCCGAAAAGATAGTTTTATTTATAATAAGTATGTATTTAAAGTTATATATGTGTAGTGTATCAACTATCTGGTATCCATAACACAAGCCTCGCAGCTTATCATGGAACTAGACGGCGCTGTGTGTTAATGTCCCAACATATTTAGTAAAAAAAAAAACTATACGATGTGGCAGCCCCGCACGGTTGTCTACCGAGTGTATACCGAACGCGACGCGCGTAGGTATAACTCGATTTCCGGCCGTTTGTATGAAGATGGAATACTGCATGTAATATTATCGTGGCTAAACCCTGAAGAGATGCATCAAAACAATGTAGAAAATTTTAGGTCTTAAAAATCTTAGTGAAAAATATCATTTTTTTAATTTTTCCCACGGGAATCTCTTCTGAGACTTATCAAATATAGGTCCAAAAAAGGAATAATATCTGATTTGTTATTTAACAATTATCGCACTTGCAACGTTCAAGCAGAAAAAATATATTATTGAACTATTGTATTATTTGTATAAATTATTATTGAATAAAAAAATCCGGCGGATTATTTTTCATTTTATCTATCCAGAGGCTTACCCCTGATTTTTTTCATTTCTTAAATTTTATAATATTTAATATTTTAAAATATTTTTTATTGATCAAGTATCCGAAGTAGGCGTGGCTTGCGGAAGCCAGGGCACCCGTTTTCGGCCGTATTATTCGCCTACAGTTCCGGGAGTCGAGATTTTTGAATCTTTTTTTAGATTTGAAAAATCTCAATTAGATTTGAGATAATTGCAAAAAACTAAATCGCCTTTTTTTAGTTAATTGTTTATAACTTTTGCAACTTTTGTAAGCGGAATTTCATTTTTTTAAAAGTCATCTACATGACATTCCGAAATGACATCTCGTTCATATTTTTCTGAGACTGCTGAAATTTTTTTACCAAAAAAGCACTTGTTGTAGACTATTAGACCAAATTCAAACGACGATTTACATTAGTTCTTTGTATTATTATTATTTTTGGCAATTGTGAATGGATTATAATCATTTTTTTTATAATTTTGAAGGCGACTACATTATAAATTAAAGTTACGAGCTAATTACAAAAATGATTGTAAGGTTTTCACCTGTGATTTATAAACATATTATCATTTACCGGTATGATGATATTTGTAATTGAAGTTAAAAAAAATTCTCTTCTGTGAACTTCCTTTACATGTATATATCATATATTATGTGAAGGGATATCTAGGATCATTAGATCATGCTGCAATCTCATCTTGCTGCAACTGGGTATAGAGGGTATCGGGGCGCGCCCCTACTAAGAACTTCCGTAATATATCTCATATTATTTATACTAATATTGTAAAGAGTAGAGTTTGTACAAATCCGATATAAAAAATTCTTTTTCAGGCAGGTGGCCCGTTCATTGAGGAAAGTTATACTGTATATATCATTATACTACTACCCTATTCCATAGTAATCGTTAAATTAAAATGTACCTATATATAGTGGTTTAAAATATATTAAGTACAGGTAATTATAATATAAACAATATTTATTACAAATAAGTATCAATCTATGTTGCGGGTCCACATTTCGGTGTCGATGGAATTTAAGGACGAGGTTTGAGTTAAAACGTTTATTAGAAAAGAAACAAAGTATCAGTGCTGCGGGTCCACATCCTGCTGCAGGTGCGGGTAGAGCGTGGCGACGCGCGCGCCGGCGGCCATGCGGCCCGCGAAGTCGGCGCGGCGCGGCGGCCGCGGCGCGCCCAGCAGCGCCTCCAGCGCGTGGCGCGGCGCCCACACGTCGCCCGCGCCCGCGCCGCCGCCCCGCCGCGCCCCCGCCCGCGCCCGCGCCCGTCGGCGACAGCGGCGAGTCCGTCGTGGCGCGGATCACTGTAGCGCGAGAGTCGCCTGATAATTGTTTGTGTCGTATAAAAATATATTAACAGTTTTTTTTTATGAAGCAAAACTTCTTTACTCACGCTCGACTCGGAGGCTGGTGAATGCGTGACGAAAAAATGTACGTACGTTTATTGCCATGGTGACCGTTGTTACTGTCTGACAAATGATATATAATATTATATTCTTTCCTTAAATGATGTTCTATAAATATATGATTATAATATATATTTATAGAATAATACTATGCGTTATTTTTAGTATCTCACCTGTCCTAATTATTTAAAACATAAATTGAATTTCATAAAAAGTACCGATAACCTACAGAAGTTTTACTTCTTGAACGTGTACATTCCTACACGCACTCTTTAATTTTTTATATGGATAAGTAAATTTTATTCTCTATCGAACGGAGCACTAACAATCCGGTATGTACTGGGAACTCGCCATAACGTACTGAATGACTGAGGTGACGCTGTACAAAATCGAAATTAGCCGATTTTCTCCCTCTGTAGCCCTCTGTGCATCACTCACCGCCGGTCGTCGTATGATATTAACAAAGGGAGGGGAGCGTACCGTCGGCGCCGTGGTGGTTGTGCGCGCGGCACTCGAGCAGCGTGCGCAGCAGCGCGCGGTGCGCGGGCGCGGCGGCGTGCGCGCGCACCAGCGCCTCCAGCTCGCCCCACACCTGCCGCCACTGCTCCTCGCGGCGCCCCGCCGACTTGCCTCTGGGGGTTGTTGTTATTGTTATTTTACCATCTATACATACTTATATTATAAATGCCAAAGTGACTCTGGCTGTCTGTTACATTTTCACGTTTAGTCCATTGAACCGATTTAGATGTTCGGTATGGAGATAGTTTGAGACCTTAGGAAAGACATAAATACGTTTTTAACCCGGAAATCATCTTGTATATTAGTAGGTAGTTCTAGTATTTTATCTTTAATTATATAATTGACTAGCGACTCACCCTCGCTTCGCTCGGATTCGTCCCTAGGTTGATGCCCCATACGATCTTTCATCCCCATTTTCACCCCCTTAAGCATTGAGGGATGATTTCCGGGATAAAAAGTATCATATGTCCTTCCCAGTCTCAAATATCTTATTACCAAATTTCATCTAAATCAGTTCAGTAAATCCAGAGATTACCCCCTACAACGTCACAAACATTATATCTTTATATTATTAGTATAGATAAAGTATTATGTCATTTGCGGTAAAAAAAAACCTCAAATTAGACGGTAATTGTGAAGCAGGGAACTCGTGGCGGGACTCCATGCCCAGCAGAGACAGCAGCACGCCGCGGCACGCCTCTACCTCCTCTTCTGTGAGGGACTCTTGCACAACCAGGCGGGTTAACGGCTCCATTACCTTTACGAGTTAAAATTTAAGCATTAATTCAAACTTTTTGTTGGAGTGACACTTCTTTAGAATCGTTGTGACTTGAAATTCAATAAAACGGAAACGCCATACTAAGAAGAGACAAACACAAATATATAGGTATAAGCCGGCGAGAGAATGGGATAGAATACTTTGCTATGTTGAAATGGTAACCGTTATTATTGTCTGACAAATATATAATATTATATTCTTTCCGTATATGATATTCAATAAATATATGATTGTAATATGCCTTATTTAATTATTTGAAATAGAATACATTACTCAGGAAATGGAAAATAATAATTAATTAATTACTGAATAATATGTAATGTATATTTATGTCATAAATGCAAACGTTATAAACTTGTAAAAATATTATAAAAAAAATAAATCTTATTATTATCCTACTCCTGATACTATATATTCATCTCGTTCTCTCGTAGGTTACTTTTCTGAAAACTTCACTTTTGTGAATTGAACACACAGACACACACACACTTTTTGGAACTTTTTTTATGGTTCATAAAACAGAATTAGCCGGTAATTAAGTAAAAAATAAATCTAGTATATTTTTTTTTAAAACTACACTCGCAAAGAGGGGTTTATTATAAATATAAAGTAAAAAGTTAGCGAGTACGTATAATCGAGGGAACAGTATATATAAATATATAGGAGACACTCACGGAACCCAAGTTAAATATGAGCGTGGAGGATATAGTGAGGGGCCAGTAGGTGGTGTGGCGCGTGAGGCGGGCGCGCGCGCGCGCGGGGGCGCCGGCGCCGCGCAAGGGGCACAGCTTGTTCTGCTGCATCAGCGCGCCGAACTCCTTTATTCTACAATACGACTGTTATATACAACTAGCAATTTAAAAAAAATATATTTTCTGTAAGGTCGGTTTACAGACGATAGTTTTACGTGATAACGTCATAATGAAAACATTAATGAAAAATTGCATACTTTTATGAATTGAATTTAATTATTATCACTGAATTCTATCTATCTCGTGTAAAGTCACAGCTTTAGGTTTGACTCAGTCATTTTCCAATTGTCATATAGAATGAGGTATGAAAATCGAGTGCGTCTCACTCGTGTTTCACCTCAAACGTCCCGCACAGTGTCCTGCCTCGAGGCCTTCGTTAGAATACTGTATGGATTAAAGTATGCCAATTTATGTCTCTCCCGTGAGCATGATTGTTGTAAAGCATTCGAAACGTCGGGACCAAAAATCAAAATAAATCTGCGAAATAATCCGAAAAGATAGTTTTATTTACAGTATGAAATATTCGTGTAAATCTAAGAAAGTATAATGCCAATCTAGTAACCTATAGTCGGTGACGCGCCCCCCCGCGCCCTCGGAGAGCGCGGGCGGGTCGTCGTAGGGCGTGCGGCCGCCCAGCGCGCCGATCCACAGCTCGCCGCCCTGCGCCGCCAGCACGTGCGACGCGGACCGCCCGCCTCCTTTCCTTTACACACAAACAAAATAATAATAATAATTCTTTTTTCTCACCACAAACAAATTAGTACATACATCAATATTAGAGATCTTAGTTTAGCATATTAAGCTGATTGTTACAAAATTTAGTTGTGTATTGCTGGTGCCTGTGATAGGTAAAAACTCGTGTTACGGGACATCAGGTCTCCCCCTCTGGACGTTTATATAAGCCGCTTATATTATTCATGTTGCGCACAATATAAATGGTACAAAATAATGTAATGACAACAAAAATAAAGTAAATATTATTATGATATGCTTTGATTATATCATTCATACTTATTACGGTGAGAAATTTTAACATCATCTCAGTAAACTAAAACCACAATATAAATTCCAAACAGTTGTTATCAAATGCAAAGGTGTCAAATTATACCAATTTTCATGGTGAACAATTTCCGAGTTAAAGCGTTATAGTGTTAACTCGTGGTCTCAAATTATATATACTACAGGCTTTTCACTAGATTATAAGGATAACTTGACTGTGCTAAGACTTACAAAACTATATACAGTAAACACTGGAGAGGCTATAATTGCTACAAAACATTCGAAACGTTGGGAACCAACAATCAAAATAGATCTGCGAAAAAAACCAAAAAGACAGTTTTATTTAAAATTCACTACTCACTCTCGCTTCGCTTGAGTTCGAGCGTAGTGTAAACAAAAAAAGTCAAAGAGCACGGGAACCGTGCATTCCGAGATTAAAAGTAACCTATGTGCTACTTCAGAATATATGTAATCTATCTCTGTACAAAATTTCATCCAGATCTGTTCAGCTGTTCTTGCGTGATTGAGTAACAAACATGCATCCATCTAAAGTTTTTATAATAGTAATTAGTGAAATATATGTAAGAAAGTATTACGTAGATCGTAGACAGTCACCTGGGCACCTCCAGCGTGACGGAGCGGCCGTTGAGCAGGAAGTTGACGAGGCAGGCGGAGGGGCGCGACGCCACGTCGGCCGGCGTGACGCGCCACAGCGGGCCGTGGCAGCCGCCCGCGCCGCCCTCCGCGCCGCGCGGCGTCCACCAGCGCAGCACCACCTGCCGGCGCAAGGCCCGCTCGTATCACGTCATTCCATCGAAGTCGTGTAATTTAATCGGGGCTGCCAGGTGACAGTCGTCGATTTACCCGACCAATGAACCTTAAAAATACCCGGTTTTTCCGGCCGGCGCCAACCATGAGCAGAATACCCGAAAATAGTTTTTTTTTCAATAATTTATTAATGTTTTATATGGAAAACCAGAAAATACTAATGTTAGAAAAAGAAGTCATTGTAATCAGTTCTCGATTAAACAGCCTTAAATTATTAAATAAAACATAAAAAAAATACCTATAATATAAAATTAATCAGCTAAACTAAAATACCTGCTTTCTACTAAAACACCCGTCAAAATTACCCGCCATTAAAATCGCCTAAAATTACCCGCTTTTCGGATAGTTTACCGAATTTAATGCAATGACGTCTATTCACGAAAGTATTCTTCTACAGATTATGTTTAACCCTCAGTGCTTTTTTTTTGGATTTTTTTTTAAAACGAGCAGTAACATTAGTATCTAATTTTTCGGCCTATAAACTATTTCTATGCAAACAATGTTGATACGTTGCTCCGTTATTACGTTAAAAAACAAGACAAACAAGTCAATAGGTTTGATAATAATTAATTAACGTGAAGCACATAAAAATATATATTTAAAAGATACTTTCCACTATTTTAAGTTTCGCTGTAACTATGAATGTTTCATAGTAACTTTGAAACTTGTAAAGATAAATAAAAGACCAATGCACACAATGACTTTTTAACGCACCGTTAACGGTGTTTCGTTAGATTAATATAAATAAGTAATCACAATTTTAAATTATTAGTGTAGAATATCGCAACGGATAATAGATGCTGCGTTTATAATAGGTGGTGTACAAAGGCTCAAGTGTAGACTTTTTTAAAGTAACCAATTGTATTTGCTCTTGGCCACTTCAAAAGATAAAGCAATTTTGATAGTTCTTTTTAGGCATTTTGCTACTACATTGATGCCCTTCTGTTAAATAATTACATTCATATTTTTATTACCCGCCTTTCAAAAAGGAGGAAAAACTTTAATTATAATTAAAATATTATACAAATATTTGTAATATATATATATATTACAAATATGCTTTACAGAAGCTGGCACTGACTTCGAAAATATCTGCTTAGGCTATAGTAATTGGAAACCCCTGTTCAGTTATTTTTTACTTTTATACTTGTATTAGTGCCTGGAAGCTGGTTTTGATCCATTTTTTTAATGTCTGGAAACCGGTTTTTTTTATATACATACAGATTCAGTAGCTTCTTGTGCTGTCTGTGAAGCCCTCAGTCCCGCATGTGCTTCTGCTGAATGTATGATTTCTACATCATAATTTGCACTGGAACTTGCATTTTGTTCTTCCTGGAATATTCAATCATAACAAAATAACGATTAATTATTATTATAAATATTTATTACTTCATTTTCATCATTCATCATCGAGATGGTAATTGAATAGTTTCATAATTGCCTTCCCACATATAATATATCCCTAACATTTATAATTATAATATTATATTTTAACTATCATACTGAGACATGCAGATAAGACACATTCATTTAAATTTATTCTAATACGGGTTTGATAAAAGAAATATTTGGTCTAAAACAGCTAATGAGTGCAAATTAGTGAGCATGTTCTATATTGTCAATATTAGTTTTCATATATTTGTAAAATAATGAAAACATACAAAAATGAAACAAACAATTGAAAATTAAATATTATATGTAATAAATAATGTATATATTTATCGTAATCTACCTTCATAGGAATGCCAGTCACTGTGGTAATAGCAAGTCTGTAATGTGGTAGAACAAGTCGTCCCAATAAATTAGCTAAGGCACTTGCACGACAAACTATCACTTCCACGCCCATAAGGCCACCTCCCATCTAAAATATAAGAATTAATTGTGTAACATCAATATTAAAACTTAAATGTAATTTATTTAAGCTTTGTATGATTATGTAATAAATTTAATGATTGTACAGATGATATAAATTTACAATCACCTCAATGAGTGGTTGGTTGCTGACTCTTGTGTCTGCCTTTTCTGGTGTTACATTAATTATTACTAAATGGCAGTAGTGTACAACTAAGGATCTGAAAATAAATATTTCTAAAAATAACAGCTACAAACTGAATAAGGATGAAGGTAGCTTGCATATTATATCTAATCATTTTACAAAATAATTGTGAAATCTCTTACAAAATATAATAACCTTAACAAATCTTACAGCTCACAATTACTTACTGTGGAGTTGTTGATGCATCTGTAGTAGTAGGTGGTTGTGGTGTGGAAGCTTTTTTGTTTTGTTGTACTAATGAGTTCAATGCAATCTCTGCTAAACTCCTGATGGAATCATCATCTCTTGCACTAGTAATACATATTATTCTGCCACTAAAACATGCAGCAGAAGAATTAAAGACAAATTAGTCTTTATTTATTAATATAGTCTGCTTCATATCCTAAAAATATTTTATTTCATTTAATTAATTACCGATTTTGGAAATGTCTTTCAGCTGTAGGACGAGAAGCTTGTATTGGAGAAGGTTCACCTAGTGCTTCAATAGATGCACACAAACCTACTACATCTCCACCAGCTCCCCTTCTCACTGGTCCTATCAGACAAAGCCCATTCAAAATCTGAAGAAAGACAATTTTAAATATTGAAATCTACCAGTGAAAATAATTCAAACAATTAAGTTTAACTTAGAAAATTTTACTTACAAAAGTTAAGTTTTGTTGTGCTACAGCCCAAGTATTTAATACATGAGCAGCGGTATCACTCACAACAAATCTGACCTAAAAATATAAAACATTGTAAGTACAAGAAATGAAATTTACATATCTTTACTTCAAGCCAATGACCCTATTTAAAAACTCCAATAGGATCCCATCAAAAGCGACAAAAGCCATATAGAAACCAATAAATATTTATTGGTTTCTATGTGGCTTTTGTCGCTTTTGCTGGGATTCTATTGGAGTTTTTCAACAGGGGAGAACTGTTAGTCTCTCATAACAAAATAAGTTAAGGCCTCTGTACTGATTTTTTAATAACAGACTGATAATACCACTTTACAATATAAAATATTGAAGATACTTTGATGTTTACTAATAGAATTAAGGACTATTACATACTTACTTAATTACACTACTATAAACTTAAATGTACATACTAGTTTTCCTTCTGGAAATAGGTCCCACACAATACGGCAATACTCTACCGCTGCTTCCACACTGCATGTCCAGAGTGACTTACAAACAGGTGGTAATGGTACATATCCAGGTCCCCGGCTTTTTGAGAGATCAAAATCAATGGGATTATCAGAAGAAATCCCAAAATAGGGCGTATGGTCTAACACAAATATAGTTTTATGATTAGTAGGAAACATATTGTCACATAATTAACATGAAACAATAAACTCAATAGATAATATGTTGTTGTAAATAAGTTAGGAATCCTTAAGCGCGAATAGGGATTTAATTTGACAGTTTATTGTTTAACAATGTCAAAGTCAAGAATGACATATAAAGGTCAAAGTCTATTGCTGTCACAGTGTTGCCTGTCATACATTATAAAACCTGATATCTAATGGGGAAGAATTTTGCCTTTTTCTCCCGCCAGATATCGCGATCACTATGGCCCTCGGTGTGTAACTGAGCGTTTTCCAATTACAGTACTAAAGCGCATTATACGACATAATGCTCAACTTTGAATTTTTCAACTACAGCAACGCTCCGCACAATCGAGCACTTTGAACCGTACTGATTTGGCGTGATGCGCGCAACGGGTACCAACTCAGTACCTAGCAGAAAAATATAATAAGTGTTTTTTCGCGTTGTTCGTGTTTATGCGCCAAAAAGCGGCATTATGCTCTGTAATTGAAAAACAGGGCTTCTGAAGCTCTATAGCGTGGATGAATTCTTTTTCATATTATTTATAATTTAATTAAAATGACAAATTGTGCAGGGCTAGGATACAAAGAAAATGGATATCATTTGTTCCCAAAAGAAAAAATTGAAGAAATTGTGGGCTAAAGCAATAAGACGACCCAAATTGGCGAAATCTCAATTTTTATATTTAAGGCTATGTGGACATCATTTTAAAGAGATTTTAAAACTCTTAAATCGTCTACAGATGATTTTTTTTATTAATTACAGAGTTTCATACAAACTTTCATCCCCCATTTTAGCCCTTTATGGGATTGAATTTCGAAAAATGTTAAAACACGTATTTATTTAATTGTATTGAAGAGCATTAATATCAAGTTACAAATGATTTTGATCATAAATAATTCTTTGCCCATATAAACTTTATTACCCCTTATACCCCTTTTTAACCCCTTTAAGGGATTAATTTCAAAAAAAATCAAATAAGTATATTTCTTCTTTTTTACCTTCAAGTTAAACACTACTTTCTATGTATTTCACATTAAAAATAACAGAGTTTCATACAATCTTTAATCCTCTATTTTACCCACTTAAGGGATGAATTCCGAAAAACTTGTTTTTTATCGGATGTCTGTACGTCCTCCAAATTTCACGTTTATGCGACCAGTGATTTAGCTGTGTGTTGATCCTTCAGTCAGTCAGGACCACGGGATGCACCTCTCCTTCTCAATTCTTCCTTCAGGTGGTCTAACTTCCAGGTAGAATACATTGCACAGGTAAGATGCAAACACAATAGAAGCAAAAAAACCAGGTACATAAGAGATATCATAATAAATTGCTTATTTTCAGACTGAATATAAATAGGTCATACGTGTGCGGTGTGGCTCCCTTCTGTTGAGAATTTTTCTCTATTATTAGTGATGCTAAGGTCAGCACAAACGAATCAGACCGTCCATCGAATTTAGTTTGCTGGCGGTGTAATTTTCTCATGTATACACTAACTACGAACTTAGAATGCTCTAGGTAATAAATAAAATATGTTGGGACATATACAGCGCCATCTAGTTCCATAGTAAGCTGCGAGGCTTGTTTTAAGGATACCAGATAGTTGATACACTATACATATATAACTTTAAATACATACATTAGTAAATAAATATGTGAAAGAATTATATATACACACACACACATATATATATATATATATATATATATATATATATATATATATATATATATATATATATATATATATATATATATAAGCCGTATAGTTACATATATTATTTGTTAGCTGATAATTTTTAGATTCAGTTCTAAAAAAAAGGAACATGTTATTAAGGAAGCCAAGTAGACTTGTCTCTTTCGAAACAATACTTCATTTTAATTCCAAAGTTATGAAAATATGACGTTTTTCCGGGATGTAAAATGTAAGTTGATATAAATATTTTTATACAGAAGCAAATTACTGCAGTAAAATTAGTGCAGTAGTAATTTAAAAATTGCTTGGCTGTATAGCGTAATACAGAAAAAGAATAACTAGAAATACGACGGAATTTTCTTACGCTTGTTATTTGAAATTGTTTGTAAGTTAAAAAGATGTTAAAACATAATCTTGTGATAGAATTTGAAATTTAAATCATTTTTAAAGTAGAATAGTTTCACCGTTTGCGAGACTAGACTTCTATACATATAATAAAATTGTAAGTAAGTCGAATCTATGAACATATAGGATACTTTTTACCGCGGGAAAATATCTCATTTCAGGGAAAAAAAACAAAAACTGCAATGTAAGAGTATACTAATATGTAAAATCTAAGAATTTGGTTTTTGATCATCTGAACTCGGGCGGAGCGGCGGGCAATGCTAGTATGATATATATATTAAGAATAGATAGACTTGATAGATCTATGAAAAATATTTTTAACTGTATTTAATATAAAAATGTTTGAAAATATAGTAAGCAAAAAAAATGGGAAACTGAAATTATTTGGCACATCTTAATATTCGATAGTTCTGCCCTAAAAAGTTTATGTAGTCTTGTCTCTCTTTTAATAGCAAATCCATAGACAACACTATCAACTTTCTTTTACTATATCTCAGTAGGCTTAGTAAATAAAATATTAATAAATTATTGATATAAATCCCTAGAATTATAAAACATATCAAAATTAACCCAAAATATTATAGAAGTTTCAAAGTTAATAAATTCTTTCCGTCTTTTTTAAGCCAAAACCGATAAAATCGGAAAATGAAAAAAATCGAATATTCGAAATATTATATTTATACATCACTACAGTGAATGTGAGAGAATGATAAAATGGTGCATTCGTCGATCAAACCGGGCCACACATTCGAAGCCAGAAATTAAATTAGACATCCACCATTTTGTTTATTTTTGCGAAAATATTTTATAAGTCGAATACGATTGTGAATTTTTGTATTTCGCCGAAATATCACGTTGATAACGTAATTCTGGAAATGATTATAAGATTAGGAATGTGCTATTAACGTACACTACTGTCGAGCCCTTGTGTTGAAATTTGCAGACATCGGCCGCGCCGCTAGTAAACACTCTTTGAAAATTAACATCCTATCCTCTAAGAAAAGTAAAAGCCCGGGTGCGCAGGGCACTCGTGTCGATGAGAAAAGTCCGTTAAAATTTGTTCAGCGAATATTTAGCAAGCCCAAAGGGAGTAATCCCCTGGCGTTAAAGGTAGGTGAAGTTCGATGGTCGGATGTCAAAAGTTGTGCAAGTAATCGTTTGATAAAGTGTGTGATTTATTCAGGAAATTTCAAAGAGTTCTGGGCGACAGTCCCCGGTGGCGCGCCCGGCTAACATGAATCACACGCCTGCACCTGACAGGCAGCAGCAAGACCCTAATGTGAACCAAGTCGAGGAAATGGAAACGCAAGAAGGTAAGGTGTATATGTATATATTTCTGTACTATCATAATTTGATTACTGTATTTTCATCTTTTATCAGCTGAAGTGTTAATTATAACATGTATGACACTATGTTATTTCTAATTGACTTTTAAACATGACATAGTGACATCAGTCATCAGTTATATACATTTCTTGAACATAAACTACATTTTTGTTTGCAAACTATTTTTATTTCTTCCATAACTTAACCTATAGCCTTGTGAGCTATTGTTTTTATTATGTTTGTGTTAAATTCTATTGATTAATAGATTTTTTTGTCAATTATATGTATAGTTATTGTACTAAAACAGCTAACAGCATTCTGCTGTTAATTGAACCTTTGTCATAAAAGTGCAAGTTGGAAAATCTAAAATTAGATTGCTTTGTTTTAGGTTTTTATTATATAGTGATGTTTAATTATATTTTGCATATTATGTTGATATAGTACTTGAAAATGTATATGTTAATAGAGACATTTGACAGAGTTAACCTAAATAGTATTGTCATCATCAAACTAGTTACAGTATGCTTCAGTTATTATGCTTACAGAACATTAACTATTGTGTAAAGATTGTGTTGTGGAGTGCTTAGTTAATGATTAGTTCTAAAACATTTTATGATAGCACAATATTTATATATTTCTTTGCATATTGCAACAATATTTATATTTAAATGATGATTAAAATGTGTTTCTGTTTTATAATAATCTACAAAAATATACTTTAAAAGTGGATAAATATATTATGTAGATAATGCTTGGACACATTTTAAATACAAACAGATCAACCATTTTAATTTTTTGCTGTTTTTTTTTTATATAATGTATATTTTTTACTTCTAGTAATGTTATATATATGAGGTTTCCAAGACTTATAATAAAGTGTAAAATTATGACATTTTTTATAAAATACATAAATTATAAAATTAAAAAAATAGTGCCTGCAATCTCCACACTGAGTCTTATAAGTGGTAAAAACCATTTAAATTTGCCATGAGTATAATATAATAAAAGTAATAGATTAAGAATTCTATGAATGGAAATGTTAAAATTACAATACAATTAAATAATAATAATTTTCATTAAAATTGTTATTATTTTTTTTGTTACTAAATTGTAACAACAATATTTGATTTGTAATTTAGTTACCTTTTGAGTATGTAAACAAATAAGAAGTTTATAGTTTAACTTTATATAGGTTTGTTAAAAGAAGTTATTTTATATGTAAAATGTTTAAAAGAATTGACATGCAAAGCCACTGAAACCTCTTGTATATTGTATTTTATTCAAACACAATTAAAAAATACATTAATTAGGTAAAAAGAATAATAGTAATATTTTTGAATTGGCTTAGAAAACTCATCCATTTTTAATTTAGTTTTTATTTTAACTTTATTTGGCTATCTAAGTCACCAAAAGTTTATAAGCAGTTCATCATTATGAATATTCTGAACAAACTTTGAGCTTGAGAAATTTTAGTACTAAATGACAATTGACAGGTAAATGTTTCAATATCCATAAAATTGTACATACTTTTCTTGATACAAATCACACAAATTTAATTTGAAAAGAAATTTAAACCATTTACTACTGTTTCTTCAAAGAATAGTTTAAAAATTGTATTCAAAATATACAGAAATTTTTTATCCATTTAATAAAATAAAAATATATTTTACTATCTTTGTTAATAATTTAAACAGCATACCAGTTATTTGGTTGTCAAGTAGGTGAGACATAAAACCATTTGTCAATTTGTTTGAAAATTTCAAATTTACTGTCATTGAAAAATATTGATAGATTACTTCTAAAAATAACTGTTGCTTAATAAAAATATTGTTAAATTGTCTAAACTTGCTATAATAATTGGTTTAGTCTTTCTAAATAATAATAATTAGTGTTTTACAGTAGGTATATGCATATACACCAGTGAAATTTTTAATGTCAAGTAATATGAAGGTAAAAATTATTTCAGTTGAAACTGTAGCAACCGCTACAGATAAAATTTGGGCTGAGGATTTAATGAAAGGTCCCAATGGTGGAGTAGTTATGACTGATGTCATGAAAAACCAGGAGACTTCATCATCTGACATGCCGGTAAATGCTTTCTGAAAGTTAATTATGTACAATTATTTTTCTCTTGAACAGTCAAGAAATAACTTCTATATCGGTTTGTATGTATTTGTAATATTTTGTTAAGGATATATATTATTTTACAGCTGGCATGCTTAGATGCTGAGATGGAAGATGACGAGGCTAGGTCAGAGGCGACGTTCCGATTCACAGTACCTAACTTCAGAAACCTTAAGGATTCTGTACTATCGCCACCATGTTACGTCCGCAATCTGCCTTGGAAGATAATGGTGATGCCTCGACAAGCGCCATCCCCTGACCGCCAGCAACAAAAGTCCTTAGGATTTTTCCTCCAATGTAATGGGGAAAGTGAGTCATCAAGCTGGTCTTGCTACGCTATGGCTGAATTGAGACTCATCTCTCACAAACCTGAAACAGAGCCATTTTACAGAAAAATTCAGCATTTGTTCTATAGGTTGGTCATAATTTAAAATATGCTTATTAATAAATAAATATGATATATATTTTTTTTAATTCATATAATTGCTAGATATTAATCAAAATACAATAATTTGCATTGTAATTATTTGTAACTTTTTTTTTTTAATTTCAATACTTATGAAACCATAATCAGAAGATAAAAAAAAAATACAAATTTAATTTATTATTGCAGTAAGGAAAACGATTGGGGTTTCTCCCACTTTATGTCTTGGAATGATGTGTTGGACCCAGAGAAGGGATACATCAAGGATGATTCAATCACCCTGGAAGTGCATGTTACTGCAGAGGCACCGCATGGAGTCTCATGGGATTCTAAGAAACACACTGGTTATGTTGGTGAGTGTAATAGTTGATTGTAATTGTGCAAGTGCTTCAGAGAGCGCATTATGTTTGTAGATTGTAAATGTCGTGATGTTTTTTATATTTTACTTTGTATCCTAATTGATAATCCATACAAATCTCATTAGATAAATTTAATAATAATAATTTGACTTCATAATTTAATTTTTGATAGAATTGTGTTTCCGTATTTATTTATTTATACTATCTGTATTAGTGAAAAAATATTTTTACAGCTACCTTCACAGACTCACCTGACCCACCATCACAGGCTGTGATTCACAAACCACATTTACTAAAACTATTACAGCCATGGAACTACTTCTGATCTGTTTTCATTCAATCGAAGATATGATCATTTATGTTTAATTCTACAAACAATGACTCATTGTTCTCTTTTCTTTGCCTTATTACTTGTCAGATTTTTAATGGACATGTTTATTTTACAGGTTTGAAAAACCAAGGGGCTACATGTTACATGAACTCTTTGTTACAAACATTATATTTTACGAATCAACTCAGAAAGGCTGTGTATAAAATGCCCACAGAGTCAGATGATAGCACCAGGTGAGTACTCGTTACCAGTTGGCATAGTTGTGAGTTTGAATCTTTACATAACATTTGTATTGACCTACTCTCCTTCTAATAATAAATGGGATGTTGGCAGCAATTTTCTAAACAAAGAAATATTATACCATGATAAGTGGTCATAAAGCTGCATAGTGCATATGTTCTGTGAAACAATAAGTACTAAAAGTTTGTAACTAAACAGATCGTATAACGAGTTTATACCACTGTCTGCCTAGATCATGTTTCATTACACATAGTTCCTTAGTTAACGATTAATTCTAGTTGTTAAATACATAATATGTATATGATATTATGATTGAATTGTAAATGATATTAGAAAAAGAGAAATATTTTGAATTGGTACAACCAATGAGTAAATGGAGCTGTTACTACTCTATTTTCTACAAATGTACTATCAGAACAGTTGAAATTTCAAACATGAATTCAGAATGTGACATCCATTCTGAAACTAAACTATAGAATTCATTTATGCTATGTATTGTGTCACACAATACTATATGTGTATTAAGTTTCAACTTTCCATGAAGGACCATAGGACCTTTTTAATTTATAAGAAATTGTAACTAAAAGCTTTTTACCTATTTCTGCCATTTTAAATAGCCCTTTGCCTGAGTTCGACACCCATATGATATTTTTTTAAATTTTTTATTAGATCTGTCGCTCTCGCCCTTCAACGAGTGTTTTATGAATTACAATTCTCTGACAAACCAGTGGGCACCAAGAAGCTAACCAAAAGCTTTGGATGGGAAACTCTAGACTCGTTTATGCAACACGATGTGCAAGAATTCCTAAGGGTATGTTTATCTATTCACTGTTATTTCATTTTTGTTCTTTTTATTGTAATTTAATTTATCTGACCAAATTTGTTTTAAAATTACTAAGTTTATTTTAAAACATATTTTTAAAATACATTTTAAAATAAATACTGAAATTATTCTATTGTGTAATGTTTTTTAGAAAATTTAACAACTATTGGGCAGTATTATAAGAACCCGCTTTCTCTAACTTAGAAGTAGGATACTACTTCTAACAATAAGATAGAGATAATGGGTTTGATAATCACAAGTTAATTATTGGCAATTCATCATATTATGTACATGCATTTCCCTTGATCCAAATTCTGAACCCAAAACATGAAATAAAAAATAATAATATGATAATGTAATAATAGAATTTATTTATTTTATATTCGCTCTTAGCCTCATAGCATATGTTATGTAAGAAGTATATGAAAATTTATACTTAGAACTGTTTTTATTGCAAATAGGTACTTCTAGATAAACTTGAAAGTAAAATGAAGGGTACGTGCGTAGAAGGCACCGTGCCGCGTCTTTTCGAGGGAAAGATGACTTCTTACATCAAGTGCAAAAATGTGAATGTGTCAAGCACACGAGTGGAAACTTTTTATGATATACAGCTTAACATAAAGGGAAAGAAAAATAGTGAGTATTTCGGTTACATTCATATATAATTTTTCATTTTAAATACTGTAAAAAAGACACCTCAAGTGTTGTCTTGTTAAGATAAAAATCGGCGTTGACAACCTCCGCCCAAATCTCACCAATAGTTGACGCGCAGTATGGTTCTAATATTCTCAAATATCATCAAATAAGAAACTCCTCTTAAGTACCTTTGATCTTCTGAGATTTTTATATGCGAATCTTTTTTCAACATGATTACTTTGTGAGGAAACCTGCAGGTCTGACTGTTGAGAACTTAATCTGAAACCCACTCATCCATATTTGCCTTACCTTGCCATATTTTAATCCCTCTTGAATACAAGCAAGGCCAGTGACAAGCATTGAAACACTAAAATGGCTGATTTATTATAATTACTAAGACAAATGCCTCAACACTCTTGAGTAGGCTAGAATGAGTCCCAGGTGCGAACTGGGGTTTTCTATCATGGACTCAATAGTAGTTTTAAATTGGGTCTTCAATATACATTTGAAATGGAGGGAATATTTTTGTGTCTTAATTAAGCATAATAGTGTATATATAATATTACAAATTCTTAAATTTCGAAAATTTGAATACAATACACTAAATCTATACAGATAAATAAAATTGAAGTTTGTAATGCCAAAATAATAGTTTTTTACTAAATGCATATGGAATTATATACGGTATTTATAAGAAAAAGACAAATTTTAAAAATTTTGTAATCTGTCTGTTTGTTCTGGCTAATCTCCGAAACGGCTGGGCCGAATTCGACGGAACTTTCACTAGCAGTTAGTTGATGTTATAAGGAGTAACTTGAGCTACTCTTATTTCAGTAAAAGAATTAGGGTTCTGCTCAAAAAAACTAAAATGTACCTAGGGACGAACCCGCTAGTGGTTTAAATAAAAGTTGAAAGTTAAAATATTATCATTAACCTCCGCAGTCGACGAATCGTTCAAAGACTACATAAGCACGGAGACGCTGGACGGAGAGAACAAGTACGACGCGGGCGAGCACGGCCTGCAGGAGGCGGAGAAGGGCGTCATCTTCGCGTCGTTCCCGCCCGTGCTGCACCTGCACCTCATGCGCTTCCAGTACGACCCCATCACCGACAACTCCGTCAAGTTTAATGACAGGTAATACCTAATTATTAATGTCACTATTTAGATTTTTATACTACGTGGGATGACGAATATGGCGGATTATGAACTTTCACTTTTGATTGTCAATTCGGAAGTTTGTTTCGAGATTATTTTATGATGTAATTTTAGTTGCATCGTTCCTATTATTTGATTTCACTTCTTTGCACTTTTATTATGTAATTATTTACAAGCTGTGTTGAGTGTTCGATATATTTTGTCCCTTTTTCCATTATTTATTTACGGAGCTTACTTAGGTACGTGTTTACGTGTACGACACCGGAACCGGAAAAAAATAATAAAATAAATAAATAGATAAAATAATAGAATAAGTAAAACGCAATCTAATATGTATCTTAAGTAATTTTTCATACATGTGTAAAAAAAAAAACAATTGAATATGTATAGTTTTTAATCTTTATTGTAAACCACGTCTGAATAAAAGCTTATATTATTATTATTAATAGCATAGCTAGTAATATCATTTTAATATACAGGAAATATATAAATTAATTTATATATGGACTAGTGCCTAACAGTAACACCAGTTATTTGAGTGCGTAAGTGATCCTGGATTCCATTCCCATTAAGACTGACACGGTACCGTTAGGTTTTAGTGGGTAGTACTGGCTTTTTTATTATTATAGTGCCTAGAAACCGTTTTTTTTTTCATATAGTATACACAAACAATTAAAAAATGTTCAAACTAATTTCATACTATTGAAAATAAGTGAGACTGATAAATAATAATACAACGTGCACCAGGTTCGAGTTCTACGAGCACATCAACCTGGACGCGTACCTGCAGGAGAAGCCGGAGACGCCGGCCGACTACACGCTGCACGCCGTGCTCGTGCACTCGGGCGACAACCACGGCGGCCACTACGTCGTGTTCATCAACCCCAAGGGGGATGGGAAGGTATGTGAGCCAACACTGCCAGTTAAGTTCAACCATTATGTTAAAACTTTTAAATTGGGTGAGTCGCACCCTATATATAAATGTGGCCCTTTGCATTTTAAGAAAAGTGAAACGAAACATTTAACATGACATAAGCGTGGGTATCCTTGGATAGGTCTTATAAATTCCAAACATTAAAAAAAAAGATCAAATAGATGTTTGTAGTTGAGGTTTGAAGTTGTTTAATTAAAACATTGCGTAAACTATTTAAGAGCTAGGAAAATCTAGACATTTCATGCATTTTGAAGTGTGTTTTTTTAAATATTTTTTCAAATTAAATAATAATATTATCTGACACGTTGTGTAATGTTTTTATATTAACAGTGGTGCAAGTTTGACGACGACGTAGTGTCGCGCTGCTCGAAGCAGGAGGCCATAGAGTACAATTACGGCGGACACGACGAGGACATGGCGCTCACCGTCCGCCACTGCACCAACGCATACATGCTTGTATATATTAGGTAATTATACTACGTAGTTATAAATATCGATTTTTTATTTTATTAATAGACAATATTTGTCATTTTTAATACAGTTTTATTTTAGAATTAACTAGTGTTTTCTCGTCTTCTTTTTCTCTTTGATTTTTTTTTAGAGTTACTCCTTTCTGATGTAAACTGATGATGATAACTTTGTTCAATATAATAAAGGCTATTAAACACAAAAAAAAAATTCAATACGGTCCAGTACATTCAGAGTAATCTCTGTCTCTGTGTTCAAACAAACTGTTCATCTTTATATATTAGTGTATATTATGATATTGGTTTGTAGAAGCAATATTTTCGTTACTTTATGTTTTTGTATGGACTGTTTAGCACCAGGATAAATCAAACAAAAAAAGTCTTTATTTTTACAATTAAATATACAAAGTAGTAACAATAATCGATATTAATTAAATCTATAGATTATTTCCATTATATATTATGTGAATACTTATTTTACAGAGATTCACAATTAAAAACAGTATTACAAGAAGTTACACAAGCAGATATACCAACAGAACTTAGTGAACGTCTAGCAGAGGAAAAAAGAATTGAAACAGTAAGTTATACCTTACAACTTATTATCTTCTCGGATAAAATTTAGCATTGTTTTTAAAAAGTTATTGCTATATTCAAAATATGCATAATAATACTAAGTCACTTAATAAATACGTTGGGACATTAACACACAGCACCATCTAGTTCCATGGTAAGCTACGAGGCCTGTGTTATCGATACCAGATAGTTGATACACTACACATATATAACTTTAAATACATACATATTATAAATATAAACACCCATGACTGGAGTACAAACATTCGTCATCACACAAATGAATGCCCCCATCGGGACTCGAACCCGTGACCGCTGGCACAGAAAGTAGGGTCACTATAAACTGAGCCAAGCGTGTCGTCAAATTCTTCTATATTTTAAAAGTAAATTATTCAAATTCATGTCCCTAGTGAGTAGATTTATGCTCACATAGAGGTGTCACCAAGTAAATTGGAGCCTTTCAGAATATAAGATAATCATAGTTGAATACCATATATATAAAATATACTTTAGATTTATGTATATATTAAATATTTCGAATATTTGACATTTTAAATAATTTTGATCTTTTCGGAATATTTTTTTTTGATTTATTTTGATTTTAATTCTCGATGTTTCGAACACTTTAGGCCATGATTATATATAATTTTATTTAAAACTAGTGACTCACCCTAGTTTTTTTGAGCGGAGTCCTAATTCTTTTATTGAAATAAAAGTAGCCTAAGTTACTCCTTATAACATCAACAACCTGTTAACAAAAGTCCCGTCAAAATTGGCCCAGCCGTTTCGGGGATTAGCCTGAACAGATAGACAAACAAACATTTTTTAAATTGTGAGTTTCTTATAAATATCGTATATAATTCTGTCATTTTGACGTTACAAACAGACACTTGAATTGTATTTATCTGTATAGATACCAAAACACTAAGATTCTCGTGACGTGTGTCGCACAGATCCGGCGCAAGGAGCGCAACGAGGCGCACCTGTACATGAACGTGAACGTGGTGCTGGAGGAGGCGTTCGACGGGCACCAGGGCAACGACCTGTACGACCCCGAGCGCGCGCACTACCGCGTGTTCCGCGCGCGCAAGCAGGCCTCCGTGGCCGAGCTCATGGACATGCTGGCCGACAACTTCCGCTACCCCCTCAAGCACCTGCGGCCCTGGCCCTTCAGCGCGCGCTCTAATCAGGTAATCATTCAAAAAATTGAACTCTATCAAAACTTTAACAACATCCATTATGCAACATTTCGATATTGGGTCGGCATTTCTCACATTGCCCAGGGGCGGCGCTGAGGTTGAATCCGGCACCGGGTATTTATTATTTCTCTTTGATTTTTTTTTTTTTTAAGTTCTACTTCGTTTGGAGCGATAGAGAAAAATAATTGTTAGAGTGAATTGTTTACAATGCTACAGATTTAGATTACAGTATGAAGTTAATCTCCCTTTAGTATAGTGTGACGTGATGTCTATATTCAAGATATTTATTCTGGTATTTCTATATACACAACGAGTGTTTTATATTGATGAACTAGCATTGCAAGCGGCTCCGCCCGCGTTCAGATGACCAAAAACCAAATTCTTAGGTTTTACATATTAGTATACTCTTACAACGCAGTTTTTGTATTTTTTCTCAGAAATGAAATATTTTCCCGCGGTAAAAAGTGTCCTATATGTTGACCTGGATAACCAGCTATCATCATACCAAATGTCATCAAAATCTATCCAGTTGTTTTCTCGTGATGCGGTAACAGATAGACAAAAATTCTAAATATTATAGATTCGGCCTCTGTATCGATAATAATGTTTATTTCAATAAGATTATCCAAAAAATATTTAATGTACAGATTCGGCTTAGTTACTATGTTATTATATGTATAGATATAAAAATTATTACAAGTTTTTATTTAGTTTTACCTAGCCCAGTGTCTGACTGTAATCAAATTCTGCAAGTTTAAAGTGTCCGATTGAGCAGAAATTTAGTACACTTATTTGGTTCTCGTAATTAATGCCATTTTTAATCCAATATTGTAGACGCTACAAAATGGTAATTTATCATTTCTATAGTGAGTTAGTATAATACAAATGTGGTATAGCATCAGCCTAAAATCTAAATTTGACTAAAAATTGTTTTTTATATATTAAGCTATTCAGTCTATGTATAATACAAGGTTTTATAATTCTTTACTGAATTAGTGATGTTAGAAAAGAAAATAAATCTTCACTCTTCACCATAAAAAATCAATTGCAGCTATTTTAGGTGATCTAAGTATACATTTGTTATTAAAACGGATGAATGTTTTAAAACTCATTATATAATGCCTATTTAGAGGTATTTATAAAATCCTATAAAATATAGAAGCTAGTATCCTTATAATAATATTTTCAATTCCAACAGACTTGCAGACCAACTTGCTTAGACCTCGTCAACGATCAGAACAAGACGATAGCAGACATATCAGAAAACATGAACCCGTGGAATATCTTTTTGGAAATGTTGCCACCGGACTCCGGCTTCAGCGCTCTGCCGCCCTTCGACAAGGAGAACGACGTGGTTCTATTCTTCAAGTTTTATGATCCAAAGCAAAAACGCATCCACTACTGTGGGCACCACTATTTGCCTATAGCAAGCAAGCCTGCCGATCTGATACCCATATTGAATAAACGCGCTGGTAAGTCTGCCAAAATTATAATTTTTCATACTAGCCTTATCACGCGGGTTCGCTTGCGTAATCTTACTCAAATAAAAATCCCCTGTAAATAAATCAGTGATCTGTTGAATGGTGTAAAAATTCATGCGATGCAACGCCACCTCTTTAATGTTGGGAAATGTATTTGCGCATACCATTAGTAGATATACAGGTGGTTATTTGGGACTCACCGGCTAGAAAATCCAGTACTACGCACTAAAACCAAACAAAACCTTCCCCGTCTTAATGGGGCGTCCGCATTCAATCACGACGCTCCGACGGCAGAAGCAGACCACAACAACCACGGGGTTGCTCCAACGGTCCACTCTGCTATCAGAGAAGTACCAGGAGCAACCCGCATGGTACATCACCCACCGAAGTGGGCCACCTCCCTGTGCGCTTTTCGCCACCTAGTTCAACAAAATATACAGCTTAAAAGTGATGAGTGAATATTGAAGAACGAATAAAGATTTAGTAAAATAATATTTTCTTCTAGGTTTCCCTCCAGACACTCCACTGGTTCTGTATGAAGAAATAAAGCCAGACTTCGTAGAGAAGATCAACAACTACAATGATCCACTCGAAAAGGTATTATTTATCAGTTTTATGCTGTCAAACCTTTTAATAGTTTTAGAAAATATATATCTATACATTTAATTTTATTTATGTCTCTTTTTGAAATGATACATAAGAATTTTCACTTAAAATCAATTGATAATTAATACATATTATAAAGTTATACATACATCATATTAGTGGTACAGAAATATATTTATTTATGAAATATGTTGATATTTTTATATTATTCATGTATTTGTACTCGCATTTATATCAAAGTGCCAAGTAAATATCAGTGTTATATTTGATAATGTAACATTGTCTTAGTATTGGCTACAGACATACATTGGCTTATGTTAATTATTGTTAGTTTTTAGCAAACCAAATTTGATGTCACAGGTATGGTAATATATTTATAATATCATATGTATCGTTTATTTTATGGTCTCTTTGATTGATAATTTGGAATGTTAAAATGTGTACAAAATATTATTAATTTAAATTACTATCAACCATAGCAGTAAAAATTACATTTTTGTTTATTTATATCTTTAATACTATACGATAAATAAAATTATAATAATTAAGGTAGAATACTTATATAACGTATGGAGTCTAAATCCTTGAATTTCTCTAAAATTTAGCAACAATTATTGCATTATTAATCACTATAGAAAATCATATGATGAGAGCATAAATGACATGGAATTAGACGACCATATGTGTAAGTGTGACGGTGGGTACATACGGCATTGTAGTGCACGATTTTTTTTGTATGAGATTTTAAACGTACAATCAGCCGGGTGTTCATACGGTAGATTTTCATTCGTGTAGAGAAACAAATATAAACAGTTCTCACAAGTTGTCACAGTGAGGAGACGTCAGTGCAAACCGAATACGTTTAAAGTTCATTTGACTCGCTCGACAATACGCTTCGGTGTACGCTTTTTTGCAGTACAAAAGACGTGTGAATGGTTCTATTTACAATGTATGTGCCAATATGTATTTGAATGCCATGTGAACCCAACCTGAGGGGTGTGTGGGGGTTGTGGGGAGGTCGGGGGGCGGTCGCACGCCGCGGCCGCCCCTCGGGTTGAGTCGTGTGCACGCGGCCAGGTATTGGACGAGCTGATGGACGGCGACATCATCGTGTTCGAGCGCGCCGACAACCGCCACGAGGAGCTGGAGCTGCCCACCTGCCAGGACTACTTCAAGTACATCTTCTACAAGGTCGAGGTGCAGTTCGTGGACAAGACCGTGCCCAACGACCCCGGGTGAGTTCGCTTTTTTTTACAGTTTTGAAAAATACGGGATAAAATCCCAATAGATGGCTTATTTAAAAGCTACGCCTACCGATCGAGAGACATCAATTTTATTACTTTTGATATAATTTTTATCTTCCTTTTTTGAAATTAACTACTTTCATATAACTTCTATGATGTAATAAATAAATAATATGTTAGGACATTAACACACGGCACCATCTAGTTCCATAGTAAGCTACGAAGCTTCTGATATGGATACCAGAAAGTTGGTACACGACACATATATAAGTTTAAATACATACATAATACATATTAAAAATATAAGCACCCATGACTGGAGTACAAACATTCGTGTTTATCACACAAATGAATGCCCCTAGCGGGACTCGAACCCGCGACCACAGACATAGCAAGTGGAGTCACTATAAACTGAGCCAAATGTGTCGTCAATGCTATCCATTCAAAGTGTATCATATATCCAAATATGTAATATGATACTTATAGGTAATTAATAATTCCCTGCAAGAAAAGTTGTCATACATGTAAAATTGTAAATTGTTTTGAACATTAGTTAATATTTACAGATTTACAATGGAGTTGTCAATGCAAATGCGTTATGATCAAATGGCTCGGGCTGTAGGCCAGAGACTCAATGTAGATCCGTTCTTAATACAATTCTTCAAATGTCAAAAGTAAGTATAAATTCTTTTTATAATCTCCTAACACATAACTTCGTTTTGTTTCAAAAGTGAAAATTAATGAACTCTATAAGAAATATTTATTTCTTATTAGTCATTGTAAAAGAAAAAAAACGGAACCCAGCTATAATGAATGGATTTGAATGATTTTTTTACCATAAACTAAAAAGTTAAAATTAACACTCGTTTGAAAATCCGTAAATAAAAAAAATAAAAAAAAAATATCTAGAAATTTCCACAAAAAATACAATTATCGTAATTTTAGATATTTATTGTAAATTAAAAAAAATAGAAACTAAACCTTAAGAGATATAATATGAAACAATGTATTAGAAAATTGTAGGTCTTAAAAAAACCTACAAAAATGTCCACTATAACATATGTTTATATTTACAATTCAAAAGTGCTTGTAATAAGTATTTGAATAAAGTTTTATTTCATTCATTTATTCATTCATATGTCTATCTCCTTTCCCCAAAGAAAAAAACCTATAATATAGCTGTAAAAGTAATGTACTATACTAGAAGTATCATCATTTTCATGAGACAACCCTTAAAAAAATCATTAGGGGAATTTTCCAAAAGGTAAACTGTTTAGTTTTTAGTATATGAAAATAAAAAAATTCAAAATCAGCCAAATCCATTCATTATAGCTGGGTTTCGAGGTATAAACCTAATTAATTGCACTCAGCTATATAGCATATTTGTATAAAACTAAAGCTGAGTTATAATATACAATTTTGAATATAAAATAATGATTATTTTTTGTTCCAGTTACAAAGACACTCCAGGCCCGCCGCTCAGATATTCTTATGATGGAATCCTAAAGGATTTACTAGTGTACTGTAAACCAAAGTGCCCTAAAAAATTGTTCTATCAAATTTTATCTATTAAAGTTAATGAGTTAGACAACAAAAAGCAATTTAAATGTTTATGGGTAAGTTAGAATTTCATTTATAAAGTTATATTTAAGATTGTGACAAAAGTAGAATCTTAGTAATATAATTAGAATTACAATTGTAAGCACAGAATTAACTGTAAGTTAAAGAATGAAAACTTTGGGTCAAATGCACACAACTTTATAGAAATGATGCTATTGTTCAGTCAGACAGATAATAAAGTTTATACTCATGATTCATGCTGTAGAAGATCTTAGTAAATAGTCTCAATATGATTAAACGAACAGTATAAAAGGATATGAAATATACTATACAACAACATATTGACTATAAAACCCTACCTTACTTAATTATTAACCGCCAGTTACTTACTTTACAGGTTGGTTCAAATTATAAAGAAGATAAAGAATTAATTTTATATCCTAACAAAGGTGGAAAGGTAGCAGACATTTTGGAGGAAGCTGCAAAGGTTGTTGAAATGTCACCAGAAGGTTCTGGAAGGTACATTTTTATTGAATATAAAATAGTGGCGTGTGTAAAAAAAAATCGAATCAGATTGCGTCACTAAACATATAATATCGAGAAAAAAAGAATTATAATTAATATTAATATACTTTGAATACAATGTAATATTTAAATATTCATAAAATAAATAATGGTAAAACTGACCGTTCTGTTTAGGTCTGATCTATATGTAATTCAATTATGATTATTTATTGGAGTTAAGTCAAGTTGACAATTCCTTGACAAAACATGCTAATTAAGTAAGTATACATTATATGTATGCGGCGCCTTCATGAAAACTCGAAAAAAAATCTCTAATACATTTTGAGAAACAAAAATAACTACTTAATTGTTATATTATACATCTTGTATTCAGCCTTTTTTAACGTCCCATTGCAAGGCACGGGCCTCTCTTCAATATGAGGGGGATCGAGCAATAAACCACCACGCTGTCCGAATGCGGGTTGGCGGATATTATACTTCTTAATATAACATATTTCAGGTTACGAATTGTAGAAGTTTCGTGTCACAAAGTTTTACCGGGGCCCGATCCGGAACTAACTCTTGATCAAGTTACTATATCGCCTCCCCGGCTGTATAGAATAGAGGAAATACCAAGAGATGAAGTCAATTTACAGGTAAATTAACTTTTTATACGTATCAGCCACTTACTGCCTGTGATTTATTTTATTTAACTTGAGTCCTCAAACAGATATGCATTGATGAAAATCTAAACCTGTTTTATTTGTTATATTGTAACATTACCTATTAAAAATAATTAAAAAAAAAACGTTTATACCACTAAGGTTCTTTTGCCAATTCTTTTAATTTTTTATTTTAGTAGAGACATGTAAAATTTTATGGGTTTGCCTCTAAGAAAACAACAAAAAAAACCTATCCCAAGGGAACCGTACATTTTTCCGAGAGAAAAGGTAGCCTATGTGTTATTTCAGACTATAATCTATCTCTCTGCCAAATTTCATCCAGACCCGTTCAGCCGTTCTGGCGTGAAAGAGTAACAAACATCCATACTCACAAACATTCACATTTATAATATTAGTATAGATAGATATAAAAATGAGTGTGACTTTATATAATTTCGCAGGAAGACGAGATCCTAGTCCCGTGTGCACACTTCCACAAACAGGTGTACTCTACGTTCGGGATCCCGTTCTTCGCGCGCGTCAAACACCACGAGCCCTTCCAAGCTCTAAAGGACCGCTTGCAGAAGAAACTTGATATACCCGATAAAGAATGGGAAAAGGTGTGCTTTTAAACTCTTTTAGAGTAATATTTCTGGTTTATTTGTTTAGATTCTTTTAAGCTATACTATATGTGGTTTATGATATTTGTACATTTTATATTGAAAATATGGCCAGTACTTTTATATAGTGGACAGACATTAAATATTTTAAAATTGTTGTTCAGTTAAATAAATTATTTTCTATTTTGTTTTAACACAATTTATATTTATATATGAATGATTTTAATTTGACCTGGGTAATAAGTTATGACTACACAAAATGTGATGAAACTCGGTTCAGTACTTATTTGCGTGAAAATTGCAACTATAATTTTAGGGTCTACATTATGTACACAGTATGTAAGTCACTGTTTTAAAAAATATTTTATGTACAGATTTTGATTTTTACTACTTAATTATGTAATATTAGTTATAAAAAACTCACTATAGGCTGATTTAACTCTTAAATTTTGGCATATAGATTACATAGTTATAAGTGTGATTTTTTTTTCAGTACAATTTCGCTATAGTAACTAATGGCAGACCTAATTATATAAGTGAAGGAGCGACAATTAACATATTCGACTTCAGGCCAAACAGCAATACAAGTGAGTATTTTACAATTTTATAAAAATCACCCAATCAAACACCATCATCATAATAAGATCGATTAAAAGAATATTTAATGAATATATTAGTACATTTATAAAAATACATTCGGTCACTTTACTACACGTTTGTTAAAAAACAATTTTCTATATCAATTACCTAGCTATATTTATATCATGATAAAATTACATCAAATAATAATACCAATATATAAGTGCCATCGTCCGCCCCATAAGGTTGTCGCATCATTCCTAGTTCTAACGGAACGTAACCTAAAACGTAATAAAGATCTGTCACTTCCAGACGCGACGGGGCGGCCCTGGCTCGGCCTCGAGCACATCAACAAGACGCCCAAGCGCTCGCGCGTCAACTACCTGGAGAAGGCCATCAAGATATACAACTGAGTGCTGCCGCCCCCGCCCCGCGCCGCCCGCCCCCGCCCGCCCGCGCTACTGGACTATGACACTACCTATATCTATCTATGTATGCTAGCAACCATCTTAAAGGATATCATTTACTATATGCTGAATCTAATGGGGTGATGTTATACGGTAATTGTTAAACTGGCAGGATTGCTTGCGCCGTCGCGTCGGTCGGACACCGTCTCTGTTGTTGGATGTTTTTGTGTATTGATGATGAAATGTTAAATTTGCAGCCGTGATAAAATCAGTTTTTATTTTGTATTATATGTTTTTTTTATTATTATCTGAACAATGTGTAAATTGTTTTAACTGATGTGCGTGGTTCTAAAATGTCCGATTATTCTTAAAAAGGTGTATATTGTTACTTGTAAACTTAAATGCATTTATGTCACAGTGAACAGACTTGTATTTGAAATTCGGCCGGTTAGAATTCGATGGGGCATCGTTCAGATTTCTACATATCCTATTTATTTTAATATTTATCCTTCAGTATAGGCAACTCTTTAAAATCAACAAGGGTCGGCAGATGTAGGACACCAACATTAATCTGTTAGAATGCTGTTTAATTTGTAGAAGCATTTTAATCATTATGCTACCTCATTATTTTCCTGTAAAACTACGAATATTTTAAGTTTCAATTTGGTCATAGGCCACTGATTTATTTAGAATACCGTTTATTTATATAATGTAACATGCGAAGTCCAGTAGCAAATAGCAATAGTGATTGTACATTGTATTTTTGTACAAGTATGAAATTTTGTTAAAATATAATTTATATGGATGTGATGTAAATGAGCATTAGAATTTTTTATTCACAGAACATCATTAATAGCCAATTATAACAATAAAATAGATGAGGATTGTGTGTGGGCATAAATTTGAATTTGTATATGTAAGTTCTGGGCGGGCATACTATATGTCGTATACTTGTTGTATATTGTGACTCTAATAATTCACTTTTATGGCTTTCTCTGTATGTGGTTACTAGCAATAATACAGCCACACCATAGTCCAGTCACGTCATAGTTACAGATCCATGTTAGTTTATATTTATTTTACTGAGCTCTTACAATATTATGGGATCATACAATACAGTCCAGATTATCATCTTTCATTACACGCCGAGGGCGTTATCTTTATATGAAAAGAATTTAGGCTAAAATCAATAATGCAAATGCTCATTATTTATTGTTTTTGTTTTGAGTATAGCCAGTACAAAACATATATTTACTTAACCCATGCTAGGAAATCCTACTTTTTAATTACTTGTATAGTTCTCGCCAAACTTTTTTACCGCTCTGAATTAGATGCTAGCAGTACCTAGCGCAGATACATTCGAGTGGATAATAGTTAACGCATTTATAAATATACTAGCAGAACCCGCGGCTTCGCTCGCGCTGAAACTACAACAAATTTCTAAGAAGGTAGTTTCATATAAACTTTCATCCCCTATTTTACCCCCTTATAGGATGAATTTCGAAAAATAAAAACTAAACTAAACTAAAACACGTATTTATTTAATTTTATTGAAGATCATAAATATTTTTTTGGATTATGGCGTGTTTTCCCATGGGAATTAGATAATTTCCCGCGGTAAAAAGTAGCTTCTATCATTCTCCAGACCTCCAACTATCTATCTACACACAAAAAATAACGCTAATCCGTCACTCCGTTTCGACGTGAAAGAAAGACAAACAAAGAAACACACTTTCACATTTGTAATATTAGTATGGATTATGTTGAGGTAGTAACATAATAATTAATATTGTCATTTATTACTTTTTCATATACTATGATTCATTTCATTTAGTTTTAATAAATATAATGATATTATTGATATATATCGTCAATTAATAGGATTTGGAAATTAAATACGTTTCATCTTCCAAGGCCATTTTAAATGTAAATTTGAAGTCCTTTTCGAGGTTTTCATAAATCGTAAGGTATCGCCAACTATTTTTTACGCCCCACAACGTATCAATCACATTACAACATCCGGGAGGCATAAATAATAAGTAAAACACAACATTTGTGTTACTTTTGTAACAAAATAAATATTATAACAAAAGTAACAAAGAAGTAGTTAAGATTTTTTTACTCGAGTGTTTTGTGTCCATGTAGTTTAGTTCAATTGCGTTAAGAAAAATAGTGATTCATCGATGTCTACCGGCCTGGCCAATGAGATGGCATGAAATTATAAAGTCACATTTCACAATGACCAGTTGAAGGCTGACTTAAATATATTATGAATGAACATAATTATCTCAAATCAAAATAAAGTAATTATCATCTCAAATCTTGAGTAAGATAATTAAGTTGATTTTTATCCATTAAACTTAATCTTTTGAAATATTGAATTTGAATTTAATATTTAATCCCACTTTGTATACACCTGTACCTGCCGTTGCATTTGATGACTCACTATTTTCTCTACGCGAATGGACTATATACGTGTCACGTGTTTCGTTCTGCGCAGCGACTCGCGCCGATTCATGGCGGTCAAAAAGTTTGGCGAGAACTATACTTAACATGAAACTGGTTGGTTTGACGAATTAATTAGATATGGTATCAGGCTGCCAACTGCTAAAATACATATTCACTTTTCCAATTGATTGACATTTTTGGTCATTCGGCAAAATTGAAATTTTTTTAATAAAATAATATACAATATTTAGACACCTAGTTTGTATTATTATAGTTATACGATGTTTAAAAGAATTTTATACATAGTTTATTGTGCGTTGCGCTACGTACTGACGGCCTGAAACAACAACAGATAACACTATGGCGAATTTTATTGCAGTAAACGAAAATACGAATGTATTATTGAAAAAAAAATAACTAAGCATATTCTCACAGGATTTTTTAAATTGTGTACATAGAAAAGTTGATTTGTTTGAAAAATTGACTAACGTAAAAATTAATTTACTGAATTATATAAATACATTTCATTGTGATATTTATTTTTCCTTTTAATGACGGTATTGTGATATTAATCAGCGGGGCTTGTACATAGCGGCACATACTATATAGGGTGTTTGAATCATGTGTAGAATGATGCCATTACATTTTGTCTACATTATAATAATGTAATTATATTGTCAGTGCTACGTAGCGATTGCCGAATAACCAAATTCGTTACATTCAAGGATAAGCATTTATTATTATTTAAAGGGAAAGAATGGGTTCCAAGAACAAAAACTATTTTTTTTTTATTATTACGACTAAAATCATGTAATTTATCGGACTGACCGCTTATTCTTGAATGTAAATCGTTGTATATTATGCGTATAACACGTAACATAATAAAGTGTTGTTATCCTTTGGCTGGAGGGCTTAACATCTCATCTATATTACTATATAATTATGTCGCTCGACCTGCCAGAAAGATGTTACGATATTAACGACGGCTAAAACTATGTATATATATGATATAATAGATTAAGAAAAATACATAAGTTTCGTAAAGATGCCTTAGATGTTTTAAGACATTCTAGTGAAACACGATTACTAATTAATTTATACCCTTATAATTTTATTTTACAATTGTAACTTGTTCACATTGTGCGAGAGGCGGCTCGTGCGACACGTCTCGGACGTTTCTATTTTGTGTTAACAATGTGTGTCGGTTGCGCTATTTTCATTAACCAGGTTTGAGGTATTGAAGTCGAACGTAGTATAATATAGTTGCTTAGATTACGTGCAGAGTCTTCTTAATAAATTAGGGCAAATGGGATTATAGACTTAGTTGATTTACCTATTATCCATCTCGAACCCCATGTAAAGGTGAGTCTGTACAGCTTGTACACAAACTATTGGAAAATATTCCAATGTTTGTTATGTTGGATTTTGAATGTTTCTTTGAATATAATCCTATATTTGTTTAATTTGGTTTGTTTTAAAGGTGAACCCCTTTTGGAACCCATAGATACAACTAGCAAGTACGAAAAATCCTGTTATAAATATTTATTGACTTAGCTCTTTAAAGAAGAAAATTCTATTATATATAATATACTAGCGACTCACCCATCGCTTCGCTCGGGTTCGTCCCAGATAAGTATTAACGGTTAGTATGGCACAAAAACTAAAAACAAATACATTACATGGGAACTGTACATTTTTCCGGCATAAATAAGTTAATTGCTAATCCAGACTAAAATCTATCTCTATGCCAAGTTTCATCCAAATTCGTTCAGCTGTTCTCGTGTGATTAAATAACAAACTTTCGCAAATAATATTATAATTATAATCTTAATTCCTCCTTTCCGATCCTTTACCCATCTAAAAGGTACATGTGCAAGTAAACTGTAGCATGTATAGAACTCATTCGTACAGTTTTTCCCAAAGAAATATTTCTCAGTTAATCTATTGATATTAACTTTAGATGAACCCTTCTTTTATTGTAGTGACATTTTGAAATTGTTTTATTTCTGGTTAACAAAAGCGAACTGTTTTGTTTCACAATCATGTGTCTGTTTGTCTGCCAAATGCTTAAAACATATAAGCAGAACTTTTCGAGAGTAACGATAAATCTTCAAAACATTATATATATGTATATTTTAATTTTTCTAGATATCTACTAAACTTAATTATGATATGTTACGTTATTTGTTAGTAACCGTCGCTGGTTAATTTAGTGTGTACCAAGCATAATAAGTTGACATGCATTTCGACGAGACGGTCATTCTGCGAATTCATGATACCTATTATAACACACATGAAAATACTAAGTGTGACTGCATCATTAAGGCCAGGTGTTTTACTCGACTGCGGCGGAGCTCAAAAGGAGGGTTGTGTTTGTATATATGTACGATGCTGTTTCTTCGTAATCGCTAAACGATTTTGATGAATTATACACAGAGTTCTTTTGATAACGCGAGGGTCATAAGGTATATTAATATTATGAGATATTCAGATCACTTTGGATGTCTTTTTTTTTTCTTAAACTTATTAAAGTGTGCTTTTAAAAGGAAGACATTTAAGAGGCGATTACAAAAATATACAACATAAATGTAAGTATAAAATACTGGATACAAAACGGTTAAAAATTCAAATTGCCTAACTATAGCCAAGGCTAAAAAGCAGCATTTCTTTTTCTTCAATTTATAAAATAATGTGAATATACACTACAAATCCATCATATGATTTCTGATAAGTATTTCAACAATAATTAATAAGTAAAATTAGGCTTTGATTTACAGGTGCATTATTTCGTTCCTCTTTACTTAGAATATTTAAAAAAAAATTATATCTTTTAGGGATCTATTTTTTATCTTTTGTTAATTTAACAAACTTTAATAACAAATTGATATAGGTAACGTTAAGTTAATGAAAATGAACGGTTTTAGTAAATCGTAATAATAATTATTAACGGTTATTCTTAGAGAAAGGTTGGATTTCGGTTTTGATACCGATGTAAACCTGTTAATTTATTCATAAGTAAGAAACGTGCATGCATCCTTCTTAGCCGTTAGCAAAGACGCATCAAATGTAAACACACAAAAATTTAACCTGAAAAACTTAACCGAAACCTTAACCAAAAAGCTTTTCGGTTTGGGGTCAATGACCCAAACCAGTTTAAAAGTTCAACAGCTTTCCGAGCCCTGCTATACTAATTAGTTTATGTACATAATTTTGATGAATAAAATAACCGAGATATTTAAACAACAAATGAAAAATAAACACATCTAAATATGTTATTAAGAAATGGGTAATCATAATATTCCAATATGAAATTATTAAGTTATTTTGAATTTATCCTGTTATCTAAAACTAAAATGGAGGTTTAAATCCTACATATAGGATGAGATAGTAAATTTGTACTCTGCATGGTTGTCATTTTAGATAGAAAAGTTTTAACATAAAAACTAAGAATAGAAATTTTTAACATGAGAAAAGTATATAGGGTAAGTATACATTTACTTTAAAGTTTACATATCAAGACATGTAAAAGTTTACGAGTGGGTGTTTGGATTTAAGTAAAATTTCAAATATAGTTTGTACCTTCCGCTTAGCAGAGTTCAAAAACTAATAAAATATAATTTAATACTAAGTTTACTTAGGCAAATAAAAGCAAGAGTTATTATTTCAAAAGCTAAATGATAAACTTTATTACATTTATTTACATAGTATAAAAGGTGTATCTGCCTTACTATTTAGTAATTCAATGGTTTTACCTATAACAAAAACTTATAATTTGCTTATAGAAAACGAAGATACATAATATATCATTTTCAAATAACTTTTAGTATCTGCTATAAATTTAAAGTAGTAAATTATGAACTAGCAACTTGTTTTAGAGGTCCCTCTAGGTACTGTGCTATTGCATGTATTTTTTCTTTTAAAATACCAAATCCAACTGTTTCTTTAGCATAAAGACACAAAAGCAAGTTTGCAACTTGAGTGACAGCAATTTTTCCATTTAAACAATCAACTAATATTAGATGTAATTTATCTTCTTTAAAAACATTTCTGGCATGCTTCTCGTATGCAGACCATACATTACTTGCAATTGCTGCTGTTACTCTTGCATCTTTGTCATTGTATCCAGAATACGCTAGAAGTGCCCCTTGGTGATTTAACAATCTAAAAAAAATCTTGAAATTTAGCTTTGTTTTTATAATTTACTAATGTAATATGTATTCGCAAATTAATATATTACAATGTATTTTCTACGCCGCCAGTGTTTGCTTGACTTAAGACTTGAGTTAAAGCTTTTGGTTTTAACATTTTGGAATAAATATAAAAGAATTTATTTACACACTTTTTTTAATACGACATTGACATTAGACAACTGCCTGCCGTCAGCTTAGACGTCACTCAGCACTTTTAGTCTACGACTCTACACTCTACAGGCAACGAATGTTTCATAATTCATATTCAATTATTATTTATTATTATTTATTTACAGTTAAGGAGAAATAGATCAACTGATTACTATTTATATTAATATCGACTTTATTAAACTATTCAAAAATTTATTCTACTTCACAATTCACAAAAACGGTAAACTATAGAAAAAGCAAAAACAGGCAAAGCTTGCTTGTTGAGGCTAGAAATAGAAATTAATGATTTTTGTACGTTCGATTACAAATATCTATCGATTTTACTCTCATCCATGTTTAACGGTTTTTAGTGTTCTCAGTTAATACTTATTTCGATTAATTTTTTTTTTGTGAAAACCAGATTTTAGAATTTAGGCTAAACTTCGCATTTCGCAAGTACCGCCAAAGTACCAACTATATGATTGTGGCTTTTTTAATTTTTTCTATAGTAGTCTAAATTGGAGTTTGGACATAGTTAAGCAAAATAGACCAAAAACTTACTTTTGAGAAAATAAGAGTTTTAGTAAAATTGGTATAAATTATATCAAAATACAAAACCGTAGTTTTAACACTATTTGTAATTTTACACAGTATAAATAATGAGGACCCAAACCGGGTTTATTGTGTGAAATACATTTACAATGAAAACAAAAACAAGCAAGAAGTATATTATATATTTATTAACGAATTTTAATATATATTTACTAACGCATTTTCTTTTGTTTTATTAAATAATTCCTGAATGCGATTTGTTTTTCTTTAAATGATCGCTTAACTTTACCTCTTGCTTTATGTTTTACCATTTGGTATGATTTAGTCTTCTTTTTTTCCCTATTAGTCTTAGAGCAGTTTGCATTTTTTCTTCGATCTTTATAACCAAATTTGTCTCTTTCTTCCCGCCCTTTTAAAACTGTTTCAAGTCTAGCATTATAATCATGTTTCCTTTTCTTGTGTATATTCTCAATAGCTGATAACTGTACTAATTCTGACTCATTTTCTTCTTCTTCTACTACACTTTTATTTCTTTTTACACCACTCACAGACTTTTTTATTTGAGCTGCTTCAATTCTTTTAAAATCCTCATCAGTAAATATTTTGTCCATTGCTATATCACGAGCTACTTTAATTTTTTCTTCTATATTTTGCTTTGAAATTGGTTTTGCTTTTAGTATTTTCCTGGACTTTGCTGAATTACTTGTACTTTCAGTAACCTGTTTTTCTTTTGTTTCTTCATGCTCATCTACAGTATTTTCTTCTTTATCTTCTTGTTCTTCAACTTCTTCTATTTCCTCTTCATCATCTGACTGTTCATTTTCACTATCAGTAGTTATATCTAATTCTGAGTCTGATGATCCAACATCAATCCACTCATCTTCAGAATCGTCATTTTTAGCCTTGGGCTTTTTGTTACCTTTTTTCTTGTCTTTTATCTCCTCTTTTTCTAATAATACTTCTGAACCTGGTATATAGTCTTTTATTTCTACTTCCCCATATTTTTTTGTTTTCAATTCTACTGATGCCTCAGAGGGCCGGCCTCTATCTTTCTTGTGCAGTAAAGTTGGCATAGTTTGTCTATACAATTGGATCAAGGATCTGGCAGCCATCATTACAGATTTTTCTTTGTATGATTTATATTGAACTAAATCTCTTAAAAGGTCTTCTCCAATAGCCAGAGGACAACGTGAACAAATTTCCCTTATAGCGTTTAATCCCACTGCCATAACATCAGTTGAATTTCTTTCAGTAATGAAGTTGTTTGCAATGGCTTTCATAACTGGTTCCAATACTTCAGGTGGCACTAGCTCATGTGCTGATTGAGCTGCAAATTGTAAAATACGAGTCACTTCTCTTTGGTGGGGCATCACTAATCTTGCAAGAAATGGATAGAAATTAAATAAAAAGAGACTGTGAAGACCTATTAATCTAGAAATGACATCTAAAGTCATTAATTTGACTTCAAATCTCTCATTTGAAGATTCTAGTTGTTTAAATAACTTTTCAGCAAACCCTTGTGGGTTATTAATAAGATGAAGGGCAGAAAAATTAAATATAGGTGCCTTTTCTTTCTTCTTTTTATTTTTTTTAGCAATTTTTTTAACTTTTTCTACCATTTTCTCTCTTTTTCTAGTTTTTTTATTAAATTTATTAGAAATCATTGTATCTCGAGGGTCAACTTCATCATCACTATCTGAATCAGGCTTTTCCTCTTCATCTCGACTTAAGAAAAATTTTAAAGATGCTACCATCACTTTGGTAACTTTTGAGAAGCATCCAACATCAGCAATAATGTTCACAGTCTTGTGATCATTCCATATGTTCTTATGGTACATTTCAATCAAAATATCAATGGCTAATTTAGCTGTTTTCACATTTGTGTCTTTCAACATTGAATAAATGAAATTTTGTAGTGTTGAATTTAATTTCATATCTTTATGCTTCATGTTCATATTTTTGATATCTGTTATTATGTGTGTCTTCAGATATTCTCTTAGATTTTTGTCTTGACATTTTATCAACGAGAAGAATAATTCCAGCAAATCAAAAGCAGTTATAAAGTTTTTATTTCTAAGTAATATTAAACATTTACATAATGATAGTCTCATTTCGTTATGCAGTGTAGTATTGTGAGTTTTCAAAATATCAACAATCTTCTGAGGAAATGTTTTCATATCGTTTTGATAACATTGCGTGACTTGTGCCAAAAACATTGCTTGCTCGTCCAATTTTTTATTATATTGAGTTGGGTTTAATTTGAAAATTTCCAAAGTGGTTTCAAAATGTGCAAGTTGTTGGCGAAACTCATCTTTATAAGAATCAGGATCTCGTTTTATCAAGTTTTGTAGTTGCGTAAGATTGTTCGGCAACTGATTGTTGTGTCGAACCATTATTATAAATTTATATTACTATTAGTTCGAAATCACATGTGTAAATCACTTTATTTTCTAACCTCAAATTGTGACAACTGACATATTGTTGACAATAAAATTGACAAGTTGTGAATAATCAGAAATGTCGCCGACACAGATCTAAAATAATATTATATATTTCAGAATATAGGTAGCAAAGGCAATTTTTATTAGAATGTTTAGAATGTCTTAAAGTGCACTTATACAATCTATGATGCTTTAATTACCGAAATGGAATAATAAATATAATAAAAAAAGTAAGTTTTAGTGCTAGAACTAACCATTGACTTTGCTCCGAGAATTTGAGAGTTGAGACTATTAAGTATTAATCATAAAATCGCTTGAGAGCGTTTATACCGTTTTTCGCTATTTAGCTCGAAAACTGCACTTTTCGTGGCTGTTAATGTTCATCGGGCACTAGTCTTACTAACATATTAGTTACTACTATTTTTAGTAATTTCTTTTATTTAAATAGTTGGGAAAAATATAGGTTTATTAAGTATTTGTGTAATATTACAAGATAATTTAACAAGAGTATCCGTAATGTCACTTTTAGCATTAATTCCGAGGCTTAATATATTCTTAACTACATATTATAATATCTAATGAAAAAAAAATGCAAAATAATTCTTGAAATCCGAAGAGTTTTCTAAGGAAACGTCTATATTTAATTGAGATTACTAATTACTTATATAAAAAGTCTAAATAAACAAGAAATTACCGTAGATGGAATAATCGTTTTAACTACAAATTATTTTATTACTAGCGACTCACTATCGCTCCGCTCAGGTTCGTCCCTAGGGTGACCCACCCTTATCATTTAGGGGTATGAAAAATAGTTTACGTCCTATTCTCAGACCTACTGAATATACACACAAAATTTCATAAGAATCGGTCAAACCGTTTCGTAGGAGTTTTGTTACTAGCAGACACGAGAATTTTATATATTAGATATATTTATCTTTCTTAATATAATAAAGTAATGATATAATGTAATAGAAAACTATATACTCACTTTGAAAGAAAAACTAAAAAAAACGTGTGTGTGTACTTATGCATGCACGTAAGAAGTTATATTTCACCCCATATGTCACAACTCTCTGTAATAGTTCATCATGTCGTTTTTTGGCTGTCGGTGTGCGCATCGCATCATCACAGCGCTCTCATAATTTTCCCCAAATGTGCCAAAAGAAGTATAACTTCAGTAAAAAAACATACATAATGTAAATACCATATAAACTACGTGACAGTTAAAATGGCTTAATATGGAGTGAAAGAGAGCACGAGAACTTAAGGCGCACAGCCTTCGCACTGCGTCTGTACGTGATGAGATGTGTACATGACATCTGGCGGATCTTCAGACACGTACAGGCTCTTCGTGTGAACGCACCCCAATAACCTATCGCCAATTTTAATTCCATCAGTATTTCATTAAGAAAAGTTGAGCAGTACATATTTTGGTATTTAATTTTTAGTTCGTGAGCATTAAGGGTCTATGCCACGAACATACGTCAACTAGGAGTATTCTGCGCTGATAAATTTAAAAGGTCATGTATACACCACGTTCATAAGCGCACTGACGACGTGCATATCATAAACGTACGCAGTTTCCATATATTCTGCGTTAGTAAATTTAATATATTGTTTGTGTTCGTCTGACGCAGACGCGCGCTGTCAAACCGTTCACTGCGCACTTAAAAGTCGTCGTGTGTATTGATCCTAACATAAAGGCAATTTTACATTGAGTAAGTAACTGCGTCAGTCCACTGCTGACCTGGCACTGCCATCGTGTAAATTTATTTCAAGTCAGTACAGTACTGTCGCGTCAGTACTGACTTCAATATTCCCGCTTCTTATTTTTGGCGTCAGTCCAGTCCTCGCACCATTCGCGCCAGTGCAACTGACGTCGTGTAAATGCCGAAGTCAGTCACAGTTACATACATATAATAAAATTGTAACTACGCCGAATCTGTACATTAAATATTTTTTGGAAAATCTTATTGAAATAGACATTAATATCGATACAGAGGCCGAATCTATCGTTTTTAGAATTTTTGTCTGTCTTTCTGTCTGTCTGTTACCGCATCACAGAAAAACCACTTGAGGGATTTTGATGAAATTTGGTATGATGATAGCTGGTTATCCGGGTCAACATATAGGATACTTTTTACCGCTGGAAAATATCTCATTTCTGAGAAAAAATACAAAACTGCAATGTAAGAATATACTAATATGTAAAACCTAAGAATTTAGTTTTTGGCAATCTGAACGCGGGCGGAGCCGCGGGCAATGCTAGTATATTAATTTAGTCTATGGTCAGTCACTGCCGCTCTATTGTACGAGAAATATCCTCGAGTCTCGACTACTGACGAAATGTATGACTGCGTGTAAATAGTACGAGTCAGCTTTCGACTAACCCTGTGTAAATCTGCCTTAAAACACTTACAACTTACCCACAGTTGTAGGAACGACTCGAAGACGAGTCAAGGTAAATTTATTACTTTTGTACTACTACTGTTTTCTTTCATAGCTTAGGGTTATTTTGTACTTATTAACGATATTATATTTTATTAGTATTCATAATGGTGATAATGCTATTATTATGCTATTTATAAGTGAACGTCATTTTAATTTAAAACTATAGTAGGTATATTAAAAACAAAACAATTTTTATCAATTTTATTGTAATTTTATATAAAAATAAATAAATTATTGGTGTTTTATAATAAAAGGTAAAATCACTTAAATATTGCACTTACACAAAATTTATTTTTATAAAAACAGTTTAGGTAAGATTATATAACTTCTTCCACGCTTTGCTCTGGTGAATCGCTTAAAGTACTTTCTTCATAGGAACGCTGTTGTAATGCTTTTAATTGTTTTTCTAGTTCTGTAACGAAAATGTATAGGAACAAGATTATTTTTTCTATAATATTAATATGAATAAATCTGTGATTATTTATTAACTATCTGTGCAATACTTTCTTAGATTTACGCGAATATTTGACATTTTAAATAAAATCTTTTCGAAATTTTTCAGGGATTTATTTTAATTTTGGTTCAAATGCTTTACACCAATCATGGTTACGGGACCACGGGATGGGAAGGTTTTAGACGTCTCAAAGGTCATTATATAGTTATTATAGAGTACAGACAGTGCCTACCCACAAATTTACAAAATGATTTCAGGTAGGAATACAAAATTTTTATTTATTTAATTTCTCCAATACAAAATTTTTATTTATTTAATTTCTGCGTGTATTGAAATTTTGAAAAAGCATTAAACTTTGGTTCTTGATCAATTTTTTATAACAAAAACTTCATGAAGAAACGAATTTCGTGAAATTAAATACAACTATTTCAATTATATTTTTCATTTTTATTTTCAAAAATTCGAATGCTCAACAGTTTACAGCAATGATGGTCACGGGGGAGTCTCTTCCGTGACTATAATGTCAAATATACGCGTATAAGTATGATGTTACTGTTACTCTTTAATAAACTTGTAAAAACTTTTGCCTTATTTTATCGACAAATCTACTTCGTGTGTCAATTCTAGATTAATATATTACCTTCACCCTCAGGATGGTCACTGGAGTATTGTACTAGAGTCTTGAGTATTTTCTCTTCGGATATAAGTCCTGCGCGTCCGCTCACGGCGCGCATCAATTGTTTTCCGCTAGATATACCTGAGAACAAAAAAATCTGATGCTTATTGTTCATTTTGATGTTAGTCTATTCCTTAAAAGTAATACTTCATTAAAAAACAGTAGTGCGCATCAATTACCGGCTCGAAATAGCAGTAAATCCTCGTATTGCGATGTATATTATAAAAAGGCTATAAAACATGCCCCTACCTATAACCTATGTATGTTTATATATTATAAATATAAACACCCATAACTTGAGTACAAACATTCGTGCTCATCACACAAATGCCCCCAGCGGGACTCGAACCCGCAACCGCTGGCACAGCAAGACAGGAGTCGGTGGGATGTAAGTGAGTACGCTTTCATAACCTGATAATTTTTGTTAATTGTATCTAAGATACGATTTTTTCTTCGTATTGTATCTTAAATTTTTATTTTACCTCCTATTTTTGGTCGCTCACTCTCAAGAGAGACTAACACTCGAGGTGTTTCAAAGATTGATCAGGCTGCTTCTTGCTTGCAACTTCGTAAGTTATCCTAAAAATAAGTTACAGCGGATAATATGAGGAGTAAAGTTTAAAAGAAAAATAAACATACCAGCATTAATATCTCCTGTACTTAAAGCTTTCTTCATATCTATAAATTGTTTAACAAATACACTTTGTTCTTGAAGGGCCATGGTTTGGGAGCCTGTTGAAAAGTACAATTGTTATCACCATTTTAATATAAATAGCTCGTCGACATCGTTCAGATTTCTTCCTAATGGGGAACTTATTCTTAAAAAAATATTCTTCATGAAACTCACGGCTAAATATGAAAAAAGATAATAATATAAATAAAACAAACAGTATGGAACCCAATATCTGTGGAGTAAAGGTCGTAGGCATAAGACACAACCACAGTCAACGAAAAGGATTAGACAGGACAACATGCGACATCCCTATTGAAAAAATCAAATAGGATCTCATCAAAAGCGACAAAAGCCACATAGAAACCAATAAATATTTATTGGCTATTGATCCTATTAGACTTTTTAAATAGGATGCTCGAGATGTGCTGGCGAGGCTCTCCCGACTGTCATACTTACTTTTATATGACAGTCGGGAAACGGCGAAAGGTTTCACGGGTGTAACTGTATATTTCTACAAAATGGCACATCATGCTTAATCTTCGAAACCATTTGCCATGAAAAGGTATTTTTTGTCATTCCTTGCATTTGACAGCACTTTCCTTAAAATCAATTGGCAATTGCTACTGTGTGAATTTTTATACTGTGACATTCTTAGGACAATGTCATGTGTACTATGTATACTACAATAATTATAGTATTTTTAAGGATGATGATTAATTATTTGAATAATATTAAAAATAATTTGAACTTTAGTATAGTTCGTAATGGTAATAGTAATATAAAAATGTATACTTGTCTCTGGATCTGAAGACTTCGCAATACATTTCATTGCCTCCTTTAAAGCTTCTAAGGCTTTTTCATAGTTCTGAAAAAAAAACACAAATGTTACTGTTATTAAAAGTATTAATAATTATAATCAAATCAGATTAAGTAGTTTCATCAGTTTAAGTTAAACGACGCACATTCTCAAATATATAAAGCATAAAATTAATAAGCACAGTATTTTAAATCTATTGTATATAGTAGTTTGAATCTAGTCTGCGGCGGCGGACTGAGGTGGGCCGCGTCGGCGAGCAGGCACGAGTCAGCTGCGAAGTTTATCGAATGACGAGTTTCGGCGGGGTCGAAAGTTTCGGCTATATTGTGGCTGAAACCGAAACTAAAGCCGAAACTAGATTTTTTTGGCCGACACTGGCCGAAACCGAAACCGGAATTTCTGTCGGTCACTAATAGAAATGCAGTATAAAAGGAATGCACATAAAACTAAACGAACCTCATAATCATCGATCTCCATGTTGGCGCACTCCGCGTAGAAGGCGGCCAGCTTGCCGTGCGCGCGGGCGCGCGCGTAGAAGGCGCGCACGTGGCGCGCGAGGTCGGGGCGGCGGCGCCAGGCCGCGCGGCGCCGCAGCGCGTCGGCCGCCAGCAGCTGCGTGGCGCGGTCGCGCGTCGCCGCCGCGAACGTCGCGATGCGGTCGGCGTCGTCCGACCGGATCAGCCAGCGCAGCGCGCCCGCCTGGTGTCGTAAGCGGATGTTTATTGAAGTGAAACTTCTTTAGAATCAAATGGAACTCGATGAAACGGAAATGCGATACTAGAGAGAGACAAACGCATAAATATTAAGCCGGCGAGAGAATGAGATAGAATACATTGCCATGGTGACCGTTGTTATTGTCTGACAAATATATAATATTATATTTTTTCCGTATATGTATCCTATAAATATATGATTGTAATATGCCTAGGAAGCCTTATTTAATTATAAATTTAATTGCGATATAATATGCCAAAGAAGTTTCACTTCCACCGTGAGTGAATTGCACATACACTTTTAATAAAAAAAAATTACTATTCTTTGCCCAGTAGTCAAAATTTGACCATACCTAATCGTTATTCATTACATATAGAAAAGTAACTGTTTGAAGAAAAATATATTAATAGCACTAAAGCTTGTCAATAGCTACTAAACCAAAAACATCGGTTGACAAACTGAGTACAAAAAGGCACTGAATTGTTTTGTCTTTATCGTTTTCACTTCAACCGTCAACATATAGAATTTATCTGAATTATAATTTTAAGTTTATAACTTTGTAAATTTCTTTATTGTATCGAATTATTTGCCCACATTTAACCCTCATAACGCTCATGAGAAACATAAGTACTAATGAGTACCAGAATGGTGATTTCCTGACATGTTTTTTAAAGTAAAAGGAACATCCAATGATCCACCTGATGCTAAGTGGCTCCACCTGATCGTATTATAGGCATCTGCAACGTAAGAGGAGTTGCGAATTCAAAATATTACATACACGTGTGTGTACACAGTACACAGTCTACTTGTCGGCGACGGAAAACCTATCTTCGAGTAACGTGTGTATTAATATAGGGACAATGTCATTTTAGCGTATTATGAATAATTGTTGTAAATATGAAATCTCATTCTTATTAGATTTATTATGTTAAAATAAGTTCTAATTAGTGTAATAAGGTTAGTTTAGAGTATTTTTTGCTTATTTGAATCATATAAGACTATTTAACATTAATTTGAAAGGAATAGGTACGTAAGTAAAATGTTAGCATATAATTACGTAACTTGAAAATGAGATTTTTTGTTTCTTGCAATAGCATAATAGTTTATGTTTTAAATAATAGATTTTATTATAAAACTTATAATAAAACAAGAATTAGGTCGATAGGACTATCCGTTCAAAAGTTATAAGGGAAAATGTATAGTAAAAATGTAGCAACCTAGAAATTTAGATATTTTTGTTTTAAGACTTTTTTAATTAATTATTATATATTGAATATTATGTTTTAATATTGTATAATAGTATGTAAGGCATGTAAATAAATAAATATGTGTAAGGTGTTTTACTGAAAACATAAAATAAAAGGACTCTCAAGGTTTCGGTTTAGGGAAATTTTATTCGAAAAATGAGCTCAAAGTACGCGGCTCTCTGTAAGGTATTAACGGGCCAAATAAAAGGCGAGCCATTTCTCGATTCGAGTCAGTCGCAAGACAGCCACCGAAGAGGCAACAACTAAAAGGAAAAGGAAGAACCGAAACCAAGAGAGAAAAAAGGAAAAAATTGTGTTTTTATTTCATCGCCTCTAAGTATAGTCTCCTGTCAACGAAGAAACCCTAGTGGATCGGGACCCAAGCTACGCATTCAGGGGTGCGTGGTGGCGTACATTACCAGCGAACGGACATACTGCCGTGTACGCCAAGAACGTCTGGGAGATTGTCCCAGGTCGACCTCCGGGTACTAGACATACCCTGGTTCTGGTCGTCCGAAACAGTTGGTCCTTCGAGCCGGATCCCTGCTAGAAGAAGTTCAGAAGAAACAGAAGATTGCGTTCAAGATGCCGGTAACCAGGTCGCAGAAGGATGCCCCCTCACGTCCCGGGTCCCGTCCTTCAGATAGGGACGCGACAGATGGAACGTCGGGATCAGAAGGGGTCACGTCAGCGTCGGCGTCATCGGGAACTGCAACTACATCGAACACTTCTTCGGGTACCACGACCACGGAGGGCACCACAGTGACGGAGACTACGGTTACGACTGCAACTACGGCGGCGTCTATGGAAGGCAACAAAGAAGATGCTGCACAGAGGATGACCAGGAAGAGCCAAGAAGATGTACCTGGAAAGGATGTTCAAGGCTCCTCCAAGACCCTGAAACCGATGGGGGTCAGTCGTCGCGCCAGGTCCACGAAGACCACGAGTTCCTCGGCCAGAAGACGCGAGCTAGAAGCAAAGGAAGAGTTGGCACGCCTGGAGTTGAAGCAAGCACAGGCTGAAACTAAGCTAGCCCGTGTCAGATTGGAGATGGCACAGTGTGAAGAAGAGGACTCCGTGGATGAAGACCTGGAAGACAGAACAGCACAGGTGCAGAACTGGATCGAGACGTCTGTGCTGGAGGATGGCAACAAAGTTCAACCAGAGATGCGAGGTCCACACCCCTTGGAAGAGCCACAGAAGATGAAGCCTGAAGAGAACTCCTCAACGAGAGGAGCTACGATTGAAATTCAAGCACTGACGGCAGCATTGAAGGAAGCTCTTACCACGCGAGGACCAGCAGGACAGCCAACCTACATTCACGAGTTACCCTACTTCGACGGCAACAGCAGCGAGTGGATGGCCTTCAAGGTTGTCTATGAAGATACAGCACCAATGTTCAACAACGTCCAGAATATGGCTCGGCTAAGAAGAGCACTGAAGGGCAACGCAAGAGAAGCTATCAAGAGTCTGCTGTACTCCGAAGCCTCTCCGATGGAAGTGATTCAAGCCCTCAGAAGAAGATATGGAAGACCAGATGCACTGGTGCTGGCAGAGTTGGACAAGGTCAAAACGTTGCCGAAGATTTCTGAAAACCCAAGGGACATATGCCTCTTCGCGAGCCAGATCAGCAACAGCGTAGCGGCAATAAAAGGATTGAAGAAACCACAGTACCTGCATTCACCTGAGATGGTGAAACAAATTATTGAGAAGATGCCTACGATCCTCAAGTTCCGATGGTACGACTTCATTGAAACAACAGAAGGCGAGTTCTCCGACCTAACACTGGTGTCCAAGTTCCTGAACAGAGAAGCAGACAAGTGTGGAGCCTATGCATCAACAGAAGAGAAGAGCGGGTTCAGACGGACTCATCGACAAGCAACGCATTCAACTAAGGAAAAGGACTTCAAAGAAAAGGTTTCAAGATCAGAGAAGACTTGCCCCATGTGTGAGGGTGAACACTTCCTCGTCGGGTGTCAGAAGTTCCTGAAGGCGTCTGTGCAAGATCGATGGGCAATAGTGAAGAAAAGCCGCGTTTGCTTCAAGTGTTTACAAGGGACACATCGGAAGGAGAGCTGCAAGAAGCCGTCGTGCAAGGAATGCAAGAGGTGGCATCATCATCTGCTGCACGTCGAGACAGAGAAAAGTTCCTCGGAAGAACAGAAGAACAAACCACAAGAAGTGGCGAGCATCATGGCATCGGTGAATGCGGTCAACAACGCAAGGGCATACCTGAAGATAATTCCGATAGAAATCTTCGGGTCAAAAGGATCAAAGAAGATATTGGCCCTCATGGATGAAGGGTCAACAGTGTCGCTGCTAGACCAGAAGGTAGCAGAAGAAATCGGCGCTCAAGGAAGAAAGGAGGAACTGGTCATCGAGACTGTTGGAGGCAGGCTGATAAGGAAGGAAGACTCTCAGATGCTGGACCTTACGGTGAAGGGGATTCATCAGAAGACCAAGAAGACCTTGAGAAGAGTCCGGACCATCGACGAGTTGAAGCTTGCACCGCAGTTCCTAGAAAAGAAAAGGATAGAAGAGTGTCAACACTTGAAGAAGATTGCTGACTCTCTATATTATAAGGGGGAGTCACCACAGCTGCTCATCGGTCAAGACAACTGGGAGCTAATCGTGACTCAAGAAGTAAGAAGAGGGAAACCAGGACAACCAGTCGCTTCAAGAACAGGACTTGGATGGGTGCTCCACGGGTCAGACACTGGAGGCGCGAAAGTGGTGCACTTCTTAAACACGTGTCTACATGTCAGCACGCCAGAAGAAGAGATGCATCAAGCCATCAAGGATCACTTCGCAATCGAAGCACTTGGAGTACTACCAAGAAGACCCACTACGGATTCAGAAGGAAGAGCACTCACCATCCTAGAGAAGACCTGCAGAAGACTAGAAGATGGTCGATTTGAAGCTGGACTTCTATGGAAAAATGAAGATGAACAGATGCCTGAAAGCTACACGTCTGCCAAGAACCGATTGTTCAACATTGAAAAGAAGATAGACAAAGACCCTCAGCTGAAGGCAGAATACAATAAGCAGATCCAGCATCTAATCGACAGCAAGTATGCAGAAGAAGCACCTGGTGGACAAGAAGATTCAAAGAAGACATGGTACCTCCCTCATTTCTCCGTGGTACATCCATTGAAGAAGAAAATAAGGATCGTCTTCGACGCTGCAGCCAAGTCTAAAGGGAGAAGCCTCAACGACGCTTTACTACCGGGACCAGACCTACTGCAATCGCTCTTCGGGGTATTACTGAGGTTCCGGCAAGGCCCGTTTGCAGTGGCAGCCGACATAAAGGAAATGTTCCTGCAAGTTCGCATCCGGCCAGAAGATAGAAACAGCTTGAAGTTCCTGTGGCGAGGGGATCGTCGTGACGTAGCACCGAAGGAGTACAGAATGACATCAGTCATCTTCGGCGCGACATCATCTCCTAGCACAGCGATCTACGTGAAGAACCGGAACGCGGCGGACTACAAGAAGCAGTACCCAGAGGCAGCAAAGGCAATCGAGCTGAACCATTACATGGATGACTACCTGCACAGCTTCCATTCAGAAGAGGACTTCAAGAGAATTACAGCGCAGGTGGACTTCATTCACAAAAAGGCGGGCTTCGAACTCCGAGGATGGGCGTCAAACCACTCCGACCTGCTGCAAGACGTGAAGACTGAGTCAGTTGAGAAGACAGAGGTGGACCTTGGTGAGAAGGAAGAGAAGACACTGGGACTACGCTGGTTTACAGAAAGGGACTCCATAGGCTTTAGGGCGAACCTTCGGAACACGCCAGATGAAGTGGCACAAGGACTCAAGGTACCTACGAAGAGAGAAGTCACCAGCGCCGTGATGTCGACCTTCGATCCACTAGGGCTAGCATCACCAATTCTCATCCAAGGCAAAAGGCTGCTCCAGAACATATGGCGAAGTGGCGTCGGTTGGGATGAAGAGATAGAAGAAAAGGAGTACGAGTCATGGAAGACTTACCTGGAGAAGATGAAGCTGCTCCAAGACCTTCAGATCCCGAGATGTCTGGCACCACGTCGCACCGAGGGGGAGCTGCACACGTTCACGGATGCAAGCGAAATGGCGTATGCAGCTACGGTATATTGGAGAACTGAAAATCAAAATGGGACTTATGACGTCAGCTTAGTAGCAGCAAAAGTAAGAGTCGCTCCGTTGAAGCCGGTGTCAATCCCGAGACTCGAGCTGCAAGCGGCCCTCCTAGGAAGCAGATTGGCACACTCGGTCGAGGAAGAAATGGATCTGAAAATAGAAAAGAAGACGTTTTGGACAGACTCCAGTATCGTGCTATCATGGATCAAGACGGACCCGAGAACCTTCAAGACATTCGTGGCTCATCGCTTGGCGGAGATAGAAGATCTCACAAAACCACAGGACTGGAGATGGGTACCGACGGCGCAGAACCCTGCAGATGATGCAACACGTGACGTACCAGAACACTTCGACTGCCAACACCGATGGTACACCGGACCAGGGTTTCTAAGAAGAGATGAAGTTCACTGGCCTGCGGCAAGAACATTCAAGAAAGAAACCACTGGCGAAGAAAAGGCAGCGGACATCGTAGCGACTGCAGGCAGCTCCTATCCATCACCAGATCCCGAAAAGTTCTCGTCGTGGAAAAGACTTTGGCGAGCTACAGCAAGAGTACTGCAGTTCATACAACTCTGCAGAAGAAAGGAAAAGGTCCACGCCAGCAAAGAAGATCCTACCTGGAAAACTACAAAAAGGAATAAGAAAATTGTTGAGAAGCGACATCTGTCTTCAAAAACGTCAGAAAGGAAATACATACCATTGGAAACAAGTCTACTAGAGCAAGCTGAAACGCTGTTGTTAAGAAGAAGTCAAGAGAAATGCTTCAAAGAGGACATCAGGTGCCTACAGCAAGGAAAACAATTAGAGGGCAGCAGCAAGTTGAAAAGGCTCGACGTAGTGCTAGAAGAAGGTCTCCTGCGACTGAAAGGAAGAATCGACGCGATACGAGGGGTTACCAGAGACTACAAACGACCCATCATACTCGACAGCAAGGACAAGACAACACTTCTCATCATAGAAGAATTTCACTGCCGCTTCAATCACGGGAATCACGCGACCGTAATGAACGAAGTAAGACAACGCTTCTGGGTGCTAGGACTGAGGTCAGCGATCAAGACCATTCAACATCAATGCCAGTGGTGCAAAACAAGAAAGGCAAGACCTCAAGAACTACCAGTGGGCAACTTACCTGCTGAGAGGCTGATGCACGGAAACCCTCCATTTACGTGCACGGGAATAGATTACTTCGGCCCTATGACGATCACCGTAGCAAGACGCCATGAGAAGAGATGGGGTGCTCTATTCACATGCTTAACAACACGAGCTGTACACATTGAGCTCACTCCTTCACTCTCCACTGACAGCATGATCATGGCACTACGACGATTCGCCGCGAGAAGAGGAATGCCAAAGATAATCTACACCGACAATGGCACTAACTTCGTTGGCGCCAACAAAGAACTCAAAGAAGCACTAGACACCATGAAGCAAGAAGACCTTATCTCGGAAGCGGAGAAGATCGGTGTGCAGTGGAAGTTCATACCTCCTGGTGCACCAAACATGGGAGGTGCATGGGAACGTCTGGTGCGATCCATTAAAACCGCACTGGACGCCACGCTCAACGAAAGGCAACCACGAGAGGAGGTACTTCATACCCTCCTGTTAGAGGCCGAGCACATAGTCAACTCTCGGCCCCTCACCCACCTCTCCGAGAACCCTGAAGAAGAAGCACTTACACCGAACCACTTTCTCATCGGGCGATCATGTGGCGCAGCAAGAATCGGCAGCTTCGAGGACAACGAGCTTGTGGGCAGACACACCTGGAAGGCTACGCAGCGACTTGCCGATCACTTCTGGCAACGTTGGCTGAGAGAGTATTTGCCCACTCTACTACCAAGGAAGACCAAAGGAAGAGTCAGCGCCACAGATTTGCAAGTCGGAGACATCGTACTGATCGTCGATCACAGCCTACCAAGATGCATCTGGCCACGCGGAAGAATCCTGCATGTGTATCCTGGACCAGACGGGCGGACCAGAGTCGTCGACGTCGAGACCAGAGGAGGTGTTCTACGGAGGCCCAGTTCGAGAGTGGTGCTGTTGGTGCCGGGAGCGTCGCCGAGTCCAGGAGTTGGTGCAAAGCACGAGGGGGAGAATGTCGGCGACGGAAAACCTATCTTCGAGTAACGTGTGTATTAATATAGGGACAATGTCATTTTAGCGTATTATGAATAATTGTTGTAAATATGAAATCTCATTCTTATTAGATTTATTATGTTAAAATAAGTTCTAATTAGTGTAATAAGGTTAGTTTAGAGTATTTTTTGCTTATTTGAATCATATAAGACTATTTAACATTAATTTGAAAGGAATAGGTACGTAAGTAAAATGTTAGCATATAATTACGTAACTTGAAAATGAGATTTTTTGTTTCTTGCAATAGCATAATAGTTTATGTTTTAAATAATAGATTTTATTATAAAACTTATAATAAAACAAGAATTAGGTCGATAGGACTATCCGTTCAAAAGTTATAAGGGAAAATGTATAGTAAAAATGTAGCAACCTAGAAATTTAGATATTTTTGTTTTAAGACTTTTTTAATTAATTATTATATATTGAATATTATGTTTTAATATTGTATAATAGTATGTAAGGCATGTAAATAAATAAATATGTGTAAGGTGTTTTACTGAAAACATAAAATAAAAGGACTCTCAAGGTTTCGGTTTAGGGAAATTTTATTCGAAAAATGAGCTCAAAGTACGCGGCTCTCTGTAAGGTATTAACGGGCCAAATAAAAGGCGAGCCATTTCTCGATTCGAGTCAGTCGCAAGACAGCCACCGAAGAGGCAACAACTAAAAGGAAAAGGAAGAACCGAAACCAAGAGAGAAAAAAGGAAAAAATTGTGTTTTTATTTCATCGCCTCTAAGTATAGTCTCCTGTCAACGAAGAAACCCTAGTGGATCGGGACCCAAGCTACGCATTCAGGGGTGCGTGGTGGCGTACATTACCAGCGAACGGACATACTGCCGTGTACGCCAAGAACGTCTGGGAGATTGTCCCAGGTCGACCTCCGGGTACTAGACATACCCTGGTTCTGGTCGTCCGAAACACTACTAATCCGCATAGTCGTCTAACGAAGGCGATACATTAAAGAGTTGGAAAATGTAAAATCTTATTCGATACTTCTATAACGACATCTGTCTAAAGGCAGAAACAGAGATTTTTGTACGAGAAAAATCATAAGTCGTAAACTTTTATACTCACCGACAGTTATTTTTGTAATGCAAAACGGGTTATTTATATTATAGATATTTCGGTACTATTACAAGAGCCTCGGTCTCGGGTAACTATTTTACGGGTGGATGTTTTTCTTTATTGGCAGACATACCTACCTACCACATGTGGTATTGGTGTGTTCTTACACCCCGCTGTTGGGTATAGACCTTCCTTCATGAATACGAGGAGGATCAGCCTATAGTTTCATCATTATTGTATATATTGTATAGTTTCATTATTATTGTATTTTTAGTGTAATCTAATTTTGGCCTTATTGTAACTCTCCTTTGTGTACAATGTCCAATCTTAATTAATACTGTAACGCTGTTTGATTACCAAATAAATAAATAAATAAATAAATAGTCCACGCTGACCAATGGCGGGTTGGCGGACTTTTAATTTTTTGTTGTTCTCTAAATCGGTTAGGTTTACTCACGATGTTTTCTTTCACCATAAGCAAGTGGCAATCATGTCGAAAATATCACATATCACGCATGAGATTATCAGAGCTACGAGACCCGGGGTTTGAACTCGCTTAACAATGTTTCCCAAACAAGAGCGTTACCACTGGGCTACAATACACCTTATTTTAGTTACCTTATCCCCGATGTGCGCCAGCCGCTTGGCGGCCTGGTGGTACAGGCCGCGCGCGCCCAGCACGTCGGCCAGGCGGCGCAGCAGCGCGTCGCGCCCCGCCGCGCCCGCCGGCGCCGCCAGCCGCTCGCTCAGCTCCTCCGACAGGGGAGTGGCGGACTGCTCCACTATGTCTAACGCTTCTTCGTACTGGGGTCAAAGATATATAATACTAGTGACTTATATAAGCCTGAACGCTTTAGGTATGCATAAAAGACAAACGTCCAGGGGCGGACCGTAAATATGTGGGGACGTGGGCTAACACTTCTTAGGAGTCTAAACTAATTGTTATTTGGCTTTATAAAATCTATAATGGTAGATTTACTATCGCTATTGTTTCGTTCTTAATCGGTCTCGGGGTTACCATGAAAAATGTTCCAAACAAGTTGGGAGGCATTTCTAAGAAAATGTTGCAAATGGTCACCAAATTTGAAGCGCTAAGAATTGACTTTATTTTTGATGGTGTGTAATAAATACTATGCTATCAGTATCATAAATCATCTAATTATTACACAAGTATTATATATAAAAATCAGCTTTTATACTATAACGTAAGTAGAATTATGATTTCATGAAAAGGGTGTCTGGCAAGGGTTTGCCACGATGTTATGTGTCTGGCATTGAATTACATGATTTTTAATAATATTCTGAAGGTAATACCAAAAAATCACACTTTATTATTTGACGAATTTAGATCGGTATTTTACACGCCTTTAGTACCGTGTACCTGCCAAAGCCACCATAGCCTGAACTTCATAATAGTCCATCGTTCTTATCTGTGTTGGGAGCATGCGCTGACAAACTTTCAGCTTTTATAAAATGACGAAGGTCTGGCGTTCACAGGCTCTTAGGCCATAATGAAAAAATAATAATAATAAAAGATTACCTTGATTGTTAAAAGTGTATAATTTATTCTAACGTAAATTATGATAGGCAAGTAGTCAAATACCAATACCTACACAAGGATTGCTAAGTTTATATCTGTTTGATAATTATCGGATAATTATCTGATAATTATCTTGATAATTATCAGGATAATTATCAAAAGATATATTTATCTTGATAATTTCATATCCTGACTATAACAAACATGATGAAATGTACCACATAGTAAAACTGAAAAATTTAAAAGATAAATGTCATAAATATATAAAACGCAGTACATATAGCACGTACCTTTCCTGCAGTCGCAAGTAGAGCAGCGGCGTGAGAGTGATGGTCCGCCTTCCGCAGGTGTGCTGCGAGAGTGTGCGCCAACTCCGGATCTATTTTGTCCCCTAGAGATTCAACAGCAGCCACCATCGCATTCGTGTCACCAGAACTCACTGCTAGCTTTAACGCCATGTGAGCTGCGCCTAATATTATGATTCATTTAAAAATGGAAACCGGTAGTTTAATAATAGTTTATTATTTTTCATTTAAATTACATATATTCTATATTATATGTATGTATGTGTGTGTGTGTGTGTCTGTGCGTGGGTGCGTGCGTGCGTGTATGTGTATATGTACATATGTAAGTCATTATCACTGTTATGAATAATGATTGAACAAACGTTAAGAGTATAATTTCACTTTTGTTTCGAATTTTGCAAATTCTATAAAAAAACAAATAAATTGTGCTTTAAAATAATAATATTTTAAAGTCCAACTGATAAAATATTACCTGATTTTTGATATAAAGCGATAGCTTGTTCAATTTGTCCAGCATTTTCAAGAATAGATGCAGCATATAGAGCATGCTTTGGAGATGAATTTCCAGCGCGCCATACTAAATTCCATGCACTCGCTTCCGCTGATACTCTTATGGCTGATGATACAGCACCGCATTTTAAATAAAGCTAAACATAAATAAATACTTGTAGCAAGTGCTTTTATATAAAGGACAATGAAATTCCTTATTTATATAGTCTAAAATTTTTCGAGAAATCTAATAGGTAAGAGGCTATTTTTATCATCTGCAGTATCAAAATAAAATCTTTCAATATAGATGTAATAAGATAGTTTTGTTGACAAGTTTATTGTCTGTGCTTAAAAGAACTGGCAAAAAAATAACAACTGTTTGATAATTATATAATCTGTTCTCCTGATCGATTTGGGTCACGGCAGCCAATCTTACTACGATGAGCCATCGGCGCAGGAGATATTATAGTGCACAAGTATACAGACAGACACAAGTGCACTTTCTATTCTTGTTACTCTCAATCCCAATCTCCGGTGGGACGACAATTCGACACAACTTTACGTGCTCTCCGAGGCACGGAGTGAAAACACCACCAATTTCCAAACTCCGGGCTGATACTGAAAATTCTTAATAGAAACAATAACTGGACTTGCCCGGGATGATCCGGGCCTGACCCGGAACTAGAACCCAGCACCTCAAGATGTATAGCTGTACATGCTACCCACTGAGACAGTTTACATACACTACATATATAGTATTACTAGCGGACCTGACAGACGTTGTCCTGTCTACACGTCTTTAATTTGTAAATTTCAAACTTTTTTTAATAATTTTTTTGATGAAAATTATTATTCAAATTGTGAATCTAAACCATTCCCAGATCCCCTTGAACATACACAAAAAATTTCATCAAAATCGGTCCAGTCGTTTGAGAGAAGTTCAGTGACATACACACTCACAGAAGAATTATATATATAAAGATTACCTTAACGGCACTTTCCGTAGCATTTGCATTCATTTCTAAATGTCGTGCCATTTGATACATTGATGAAGAATTTTTTAGGCATAGTTTTTCCGCTTCCTCCATTCTGTCCATATGACACAATAGCCTTGTTTGTTCTCCAAAATCATTTGCTCGAGCGTAAGCGTCTAATGCTCCATCAAGATCGCCAATACTTTCCAAATAATGGCCCCACCATGTTATTAAGTTGCTATCATTTGAAGTTGAAACATATTGAGCTAATGCAGCAGCTTGACCTTGGGCTATTAGCATTCGTGGAACATGTGGTACAAGAGTTCCTGCACTTTCGAACAATTTCAATGAAGACCCAGTTTCACCGTTTGCCCATAATATTTTGGCAAGCTTGTGCTGTGCACTTTTAATAAGAAGCGCATTCTCACTTGCCTTTTCACCGTTAATAATTTCACTTAACCCACCATCTTTTGCTGATATTAGACGTGTAATTAAATCAGGTCTTTGAGCCTCCCGAAACAAGTTTTCCGCCTCTTCTAACATAGCCAAGTTAACAGCTAATACCCCAACTCTAGATGTATCATCCATACTGTCATCATTTAACACCTTTCGCATCATTAAGGCCCCTTTTATATCTCCCATTTTCCCCAAACATACCGCGCCAACGTCTGCCCTTTTTAAAGATACACAAACTTTAGCCAAACTTTCCCAAACAATTGACTTTTTGTTGCCTGCTATATTAGTACCGATCACAACAGCTTTTTCTAAATGTCCAGTTGTCATAAAATATAGAAAATTCAGCACCTGTTTTAATTTATTCAGTTCATATTCAGAAGAATCTTCAAATTCTTTCATCAATATTCTTTTAATATTTTGCTGAGATAAAATGACTACATATGGTGAAAATAATGAGCAGAATATAAAATCAGACGTGAAGTAATCTTCGGCACTCGGACACCAATTTTTGTACTCATAAAGCTCACCTTCATGACAAAAAAACAAATGAATATGGTCAAATTCTGCAGAACGCATGTGAACAGCGACAAGTCTAGGGTCGTTATTGTCCCACAATATTGCTATAGGGACACTTTGGTATGGAGGTTGTTTGGAATCAGATAAAAGAGTACTATTAATAACATCATTTGCAACATCCCATAAATAAATTCTTGGGTCAGGAGCTAGACCTGCATTTGCAATACTTAAACAGATATAAAGGCCAGAAGCATTGACAGATAAACGCATAATTTCTCCAAAATCTTCAATCACATGGTAGCAGTTTTTTGATGGGTATGGCATTCTTAGTCCCTTTTTAGTTATTTCTGCGAGCTTAATGGTTCCATCAATTGTTGCTATAACAATAAATTTGTTTGTATTTGTAATGGCAATTGGTTCACCTTCTCCTTCAGATGTTGGAAGAATTCCCACTTTATTCCCTGATACATTATAACACTCAATATGAGGGTTCCCCAGTCCAACTATGATCTCATTGTGCAATATAAGAATGTCAGTTTTCCAAGGAAAAGTACGCAAGAAGTTAAATTTTGTTGCATTTTCTTTACTGTTCATCCAAACCTGAAAAAATAGTTATCTCAAAATAAACTAAAATCTGATTTGTTGTAAGTATTAAGTAAATATAACAGTAACTTACTTGTACATCTTTACCATCACCTAATACAATATAGTTATCTTTAAATGCAAAAGTTTTTATTGTTAGTGATGCATCAATATTCGAAGACACATTAGCTGCTCCAGATATAGCTATTTCGTGAGCAGATTTTTGCACCATCCATATATTGTTAGAATAGCCCCAACATACATGTTGCTCACGAAGAATAAATGCATTTGTTATGCAATTTACATGTAACAAAGGATTCATTAATCCTTCAGAACCCCATGTTACTTCTTTTACAGTACCTTTAACAGAGGTGCTGCTTATAAGTTTCCAACTATTTCTATGATCTCGCCTCCACAGGTATAGGTTTCCTTGAGATGTGCCACAACATAATGTATCACTTAGATGGCAGTAACTAATACTTGTAAATATATCTCCTGCCACTGTTTCATCACTCTCATTAGGCAAGACATCATTATCACCAGTTTCACTGTCCCAAATTCTTATTAAATTATCTCCAGTAATAACTGCTACACAATAGTTTCCTGCTAATACAATGCATTGGCTATTTCTTGCAGTCATTCTGACATGAGTATCTGTAGTCAATGAACCATCATTTGACATTACAAACCTTGAGAGGCTTAAAGCCCCACCTGTTTCCCAACCAATTAGTAGGTACAAATTGCTTAATATTTCTAGGAAAACAATAATACCTGCAGCATTCAGCACTTCAGAACATGCTCCAGCATGATCAATGTATAAAATTATACCATTATCTTGTGCTGCATAGCAGGCATAGTTGTCAGGTTGAATGCCTTCTCTAATTTTTGCAGTAGTTCGAGGCCTCCAAGCAGCCAGGGCATCCAAAGCATTTTCATCTCCGGCAACCGCAGCTCGAGCTAAGCCTCTTATAGATGTCTCAGAAGTTGGATTTGGAACACAAAATTTTACATGTGTAATAACATCTCCAAGCTGATGATGAAATGCTGTTAAAGGAGCGCCAGAACTAGACTGCCATCCTGATAGAGATCCTGCAGCATCTGAGGCCAGGAGCCTGCCACCACCAGCACTAAAAGTTACTGTAGTTAAAGCAGCATTGTGTGGTGCCTCCAATCGAGCCCATGAGTACTCCAACCAGATATAAAGTTCACCTCCATCCCAACCAACAACTAATAGTTTTCTTAAAGGATGCCAAGCTAGTGCAGTTACTTGATTCGATATTAATACAGGCCAATCGCAGCCTTCTAGAGCAACCCCCTGTAATGTATTAAATGAGACATTTTAAATAATATAATAGGCATATTATAAATTAAATTAGCAACAGTTATGTATATGTTTTATTTACGATTTGTCCTTACGTTTTCTTGAAAAATTGTTACAAATCCGCCTTTTTCTTGATTATAAGATCCAACAGCAAGTAGTGGTAGCGAAGGATGCCATGAGCTTAAGGTTGTAACGACATTCGTATCAGAAAAAATGAGTTTTTTATCAATGTAAAGAGTCATCTTTAATAAGTAGAGAAATATTATAAAATTTAATTGATTCTAATAGAGATTCTTAGATAGTACATTATTTGGGAACTTAGAATATTAAAACTTTACATTATCAGGTATTAGTCGCGATTGTTTACAATATGGTTGTCATAGAAACGTCAAAACTCAAATGATACAAATTACAATCATAGATGATAGATTACAATATAAACAGAATTTATAACAAAAAAAACTTGCAACTCACCCTCACTTCGGCTCGGGTTACGTTTAACGTTTAGTATACAATATAGATTTTTCAGAGATGAGATTTCATCAAAATCTGTCCAGTGGTTTTCTCGTGATGCGTTCCCAGACAGATAGACAAGAATTCTAAAAACTATAGATTCGGCCTCTGTATCGATAATAATCTTAATAAGTCTGTTACCGCATCACGAAAAACCACTGGAGGGATTTTGATGAAATTTGGTATGGTGATAGCTGGTTATCCGGGTCAACATATAGGATACTTTTTACCGCGGGAAAATGTCTCATTTCTGTGAAAAATACAAAAACTGCATGGTAAGAGTATAGTATATACAAAACCTAAAAATTTGGTTTATGGTCATCTGAGTGCAGGCGGAGCCGCGGGCAATGCTAGTATTATATAAAAACCTACATTTTTCAAATAGTCAGTTAGAGGGTTTTAGGGGTATTTGAAATTACTCTTAGGGGGATAAAATTTCGAGTGCTGGCAGCACTGAAATGTAGTCTTCTTAATTCATAGAGAAGTATAAACTATAGAGTATTACATCCATATTCCATAATCTGTGGATTGTAGATTCATAGGTTGGAAAAGTTTAAAGTATACTTTTGAGTTTTGCTTTTGAGCATAGAGTATATTGCTACCAAAGAGTATAGTTATAAACTGGGAAATTGCTACTGTCATCCATGATTGCTACATACATAAGTTTTGAGTAAACATTATTTATCATAATTCATAGAACCCATACTAATAACTAATTTCTGATGATATATTGAATTTATAAAAATGTGGTTTCTAACGTCAGACAATGATAAAAGAGTATTATATGTATCACAAAGCAAAAATCCTGTAACAATTGGTCGATATGTTGATGGACCAAATTGTGATTTTACTATTGCTGAAGATGCGTCGATTAGTAGAAAACATGCCACTCTTACGGTTTCAGAAGGTGATTTGCTTTTAAAAGATTTGGGTTCGAAATATGGTACTTATATTAATAACTCTGATAAAGTTGAACATAATAAAATGATAAAATTAAATAAAGATGATGTTGTTAAGTTTGGTAAAATGAGTTGTATATGGAGAGTAAGTTATATTAATTTTATTACTTGTACGTCTACATTGAAAGGAGAGAACCTTCAAAATCTTAAGAAAGTTCTTGACATTCTGGGTGGAACTTTAAAAAACGAGTGGGACGATACATGCATGTATTTAACTATGCCAGCAATAACACTCACTATAAAAGTTGTTCTAGCATTGGTACAAAAGTCACATATTGTAACTATTGATTATTGGAAAAAGTGTGTTGAAGCAATTAGTAATAATTTACCATTGCCAAATCCTAACAATTTTATCCCTCAAATATTAGAATCAACTCTTAACAGAGAAAATGTATCCTTTATTCCAAAAAATGAAAGATGTAATCTGTTTGCTGGCAAAAAAGTAATATTTTTTTCAAGAAGACAGTTGGAAATGTATAAAACGGCTCTAATGAAAAGTTCAGCAACAGCATTATTATTAAGTGAATCAAAACTAACTAAAGCTGCTTTGTGTGAGGAGGATGTTATTGTTATTCAATATAACTTATCATCAATAAATCAAGAAACTCAGTCTCAGAGGGAACAAATTAATGAAATAATTGACTACCTGAAATGCAGGGGCAAAAGGGTAGTAGCTGATGCGGAAATTGGTTTAGCCATACTATACTGTTCTACTACTAAATATTGCAATCCAGCTTTTAATTTTCCTTCTGAAGTTATTAAACAAGTGCCTCAACAAAATACTAGTGCCAGGGACATATTAGCTCCAGAGTCACAGGAATCTTCACAGAACTTGTGTAGAAATAGCAATGTATTCATTGATGAAAGTCTCACACTAAATTGTAGTAGTAATGAAAATAAAAATAATCCCAAAAGAAAATTGAGTGAAGATTGTGACATTGATGGTATAAATAAAATGAGTAAGAAACTGGCAACAGAACAAACTAATATTCCTACAAGCAATAGCAATAAAAGGCAAAATGATTGTACTGACTTGGAAAATCCAGCAAAGAAAGTTGCTATTATGAATGAAGATGATGATGTATTTAATTTTAAGAAAAGTGTTTCTATTACAAATGTTAATCAAAGTGATTCAAACAAAAAACTTAACTTGTTTAAGCCAATAAAAAGGAAACATGATGCAGTTAACGATGAAGAGGATTTATTTAATTTTGTAGATAAAAGTAATAAGAAGGTTGCTATTGATAAATCTGTTAGTATAAAATCAGAACCTCTAAGTACAATAGAAAGACCAGATATTGATAAGATAAATGTAACTCAAAATACTGATATAGCAGTTATAAGAGGATCAAAATTGGAAGAACTTATGAAGAATAATGCAAAGGTTTTATGTTTAAAAAATGTGAAAAAAGAGGATACAACTGAAATTGGTGAAAAATTAAGCAATATGGATTTAGGATCTACAACTGTGATAGTGAGAAATGATCTGATTGTTAAGAAGGAGACAATTCAAGTAAAATCTCCTGAAAGTAGACTAAAAAATTTCAAGAAGTTCAAAAAGGTTTGGCCTATAAAATTGCAAGTAACTATTTTGCCAAGACCATCAGAATTCATAAATGCGTCTCAATCTAGTGATAATAAAGAAAATACAATGATAATCTAGATTTACAATTGCTTCACAATTGATAAATATATTTTGTATTACTATTAAAATGAGGAAGTATGATACAATTCTCAGCTTGGTTGTCATTGTTCTACTTGTTTTGAAGAGTATGCTGGTAAACAGCATAAATTCAACAAATATATACTGTTAGGAATTTCTAAGGTATATATTGTAAAGCTATATAATACTGTTTATAATGTAATTGATTAATAATATTTCAAGAGTGGTAAATTTGAAATGTAACAATTTTTTAAATAGTTAAAAGTTAAAAATTGTGTTATTGATTGACATTTTCGAACAGCTCTGGAATATGAGCAATTTAATATACATATAGAGTTAGGATTATATAATAAACAATAGAACTGAAAAACAATATATGTACTTTGAAATTCATTTATGTCAATAAATTTTTGTACTACAAAACCAACATTTTATTTCAATCTTCATGCTCACTCATTGTCGAGTCATTTTCATCTACATTATTTTCTTCATCTTCTGTATCACTGTCAAAATGAAAATATTGATGTCAATGGTATGAATTTATAATGCATCTGTATTATTTAAATATAAACATGGTATGTTGATGCTATTTTAAAAATTACATTAAAATACAAATGGACAATCATTATCATATAGCTTATGATGACTTTTATATAATAAGTTTATTAATAGTAAATAAATGTATTACAAATGCAAATTGTTTATAATGAATGGGAAGGTGTTAATCCTTCATTTTTAATAAAGTCGAATGAGAAACCATTATCAAGTAATTTTAGTGGTCCTATATGCATATAAGATTCTAAATTGTTATGTATTTGCTGTTGTGTTATTATTAAATACTTTTACCTTTCATCTTTTGCTTGCTTTTTAACATGGACAGTTCCATCTGGAGCTACACGTACAATACTTGAAAGTTTAGTTGAAAGTTCACCTTCACACACCACAAAACTTTTTGGTTTATCCTTTTTGATTTTAACTGCTTGTACTGAGTTTGATGGACCTGTTCAAAATTAATGTATTTTGTAAAGTCAACTAAAATATTGTCAAACAAAGAATTACTGTATTAATACTTACGTAAAGTAAGGTATAAGGGCAAAGATAAAGATAATGGTAATTTTATGGAAAGGGATCTTATGTTTTGTTCTCCACCAGGGAATTTTTCTTTAAGTTGTTTTATTAATGCCAAGATGTTTTCTTTGATATGATTTTGAGGCATAGCTGTATGCCCCACTAAAATTGTCGATGTTTGTCCTTCATTCAACCTCAACATGACAGTTCTCACACCAACATCAATATTCTTATTTAGATTCTTCTTTTCATTTATTTTCACTGGTATCAACATGTTGTGCTTTTTAAAAAACATTTTTCCTAATAAATGTGATACATGATTTAAAATTCTTGTGTCTACCATTATGAGGTCATGTTGAGTCAACAATCTACGTTTTAATTCAAACTGGTCATATTCAACTCTTAATTGGCGCATTGGCAAAACAGTTTTGACCTATAACATAAATAATTGAAAATTTCATTATGAGAAATTCAAACAAATAATTACCTTTCTAGTACCTATTTAATATTTTAACACAATAAATACTGTTTAAAAATATTATTACTTACAGCTGTAACTCCTGCTTCCCTTATTAATTGCTCCCAATGATCAATAGTAGGTTCATGATCGACTTTTCTTCCTTTCTTTAGATCTGGTGTAATTAAACATATTTCTCCAGATGTTGCTACAGTACTATGCGGCAATACACTGAAATAAAACTCATAAATTAAGGATCAATTTTTACCTTAAAGAAAATCCTTATTATTTATAAAATTACTAACAATCGTAAATTGCTTCTTGTATTTAACAATTTGATACAGCGAATTTCCATGAATATTTGAGTTTCGTCTCCAAAGATAGCATTCTTCTTATCATGTTGTGCTACTAACTTTTCTAATGCATTTAAACATAAAGAAACAATATTTTCATTTACTATCTTAGACGGCATTTTATATTTAATTTTGTTTTTTTCTATAGTTTCAGCTTGCGTCTCTACAATTTTATTTATTGATGATTTTGCTATCATTGGCTTTAGTATTGACACCTTTTTGGATTTTTTTGTTTTGCCAGTTTTAAGCTTTTCCTTTTTGATTTTTTTTTGAAGAGTTTTGACTACTGCCATTTTTGTAGTTGATATTTATTTCTAACTTATATTAACTTTTGAGGTTATATTTCAATTTCAGCACGACGTATTGTTTTTTTGCGTTGAAATTTGAAAATTGAAATGTGGCTAAAACTGTCACGTTGACAATCACAGAACACAAATACTCCTAACGGAGTTGACTCACTATGTGTAACTCAGCTCAGAGCCGGTTCAAATATTCAGTTCACAGTAGCTAGAGCCGTTGAGCTGCGGCTCAGTTGCTAGATAATCGGTTCACAGCTCAATATTACTTAATATGGCTCCGTGCATCACTTCAGCGCCACCTAACGTCAGCTATTTCGATGGACCCGAGCCGACGGACCTGTACTATAGTCTATAATCTATATTATTATACTCTTTGCGACGGACGGTATGACATTTCATCGCGACGTAAAGATATAATTGCATGAAATTAGCATTCCCCTATAATTGTGTAAAAACGAAAAAATATGACTATAATAACTTTTTTCGAAATGCTGCTTTATTACATACAAATATAATTTAGGTACATCATACATGTCATTTGTTTGAACAGAGTCATAAATTAGCTGTAAATCTATGGTTATAAGTACCCATACAACATCAATTGAGCTGAACTGTGAGCCGGTTCACAGCTCCGGTTCAAGCATATGACTCATGAGCTGACCTGCAGCTCATAAAAATTCATTGAGTTACCCATGTCTAGAGTTGACAATATGTTAACAATATGTCCGTAAATGTTGTCATCATAATGAATCACAGATTAAGCAGTTTGTTAAAAAAAATATTTATTGTTGATTTTTTTTAAAACCGTTCGCCGATTTCGATAAAATATATATGGGACTACCTGGGAAGTATACCCTTTCAAACAAAATAAAAATTTTCCAAATCAGTTCAGGCGTCTTCGAGTAATCGATGAACATACATAAAAAAAAGATTTCGACGAGTTGATAACCTCCTCCTTTTTGGAAATCGGTTAAAAAGGGGAAGATAACATGTGGCGTTGCAGAAATGATCAAAGACTACATTAATCACTAAAATGTTTATGAATATACGATTATATACTTTAATGATAGTGAGCAGATTACTTGCAGAGACAGTCATTATTTTGTCTGTAGATAAAGGGGAAGAATTTTGCCTTTTTCTGCCGCCAAATGTAGTAATCACTATAGACCTCAGTATATTGTAAAGCGTGAATGTTTTTTTTTTCATTTTATTTAAAATTTAATTAAAATGACAAACTATACAGTGCCAGGATGCAAAGAAAACTGATATCGTTTGTTCCGAAAAGACAAAAACTGAAGAAATTGTGGACAAAGTGGTAAAGCAATAAGATGACCAAAATTGGTGAAATTACAATCTTTATATTTATGTGGACATCATTTTGACGAAAGTGATTTTAAAACTCTTAAATAGTCTACAGGTGAATATTCTTTTTTTATAATTTGTGCTTTTTTACATATTACACAGTTTCATACAAGCTCTCATTCCCCATTTTGGCCCCTTTAGGGGATTGAATTTCGTAAAATGCTAAAAGACGCATTTAATTGTATTAAAGAGCATTAATACCAAGCTTCAAGTAATTCTGATCATAAATAATCCATTGCTCATATAAACTTTACTACACTCTTTTACCCCTTTAAGGGATGAATTGCGAAAAAATCTAATAAATATATTTATTATTTTTTACCTTAAAACTAAACACCACTTTCTATGTATTTCACATTAAGAATGATAGAGTATCATACAATCTTTAATCCCCTATTTTACCCACTTAGGGGATGAATTTTGAAAAATCCTTTTCTATTGGATGCCTATCGGTGTGTTGATCCATCATCCATCAGTCGGTCAGGACCATCTCAGGATGCGCCTTTCCTTCTCAATTATTCTTTTAGCTTTTATTCATTATTCTTTCCAGATACAATACATTGCACAGGTAAGATGCGAATACAATAGAAGCAAAAACCAGGTATGCAAGACATTTTATAATATATTGCTTTACCTCAGATTAAATGTAAATAGATCATACGTGTAGCGCCCTCCTTTCAAGAAATTTTCCCCATTAGTCATATTGTGATAAGCCTGGACATATTATAAAAAAGTTATGTACATTTTAGTGTCCTGTTAAATTCAGTTGAATTGACATACCTAGCTAAATAATTGAGACTATAGAAAAGCACGGTAAAATTCAGAGCTTGTTCTTTACACTTTGTCTAGTTCGTTAAATATCTGGTATAGCTAACTTTAGATAAGATCACCTATCACGACGAATCCATCGTTATTATCGTGTTAACGTTCGGATCTGACGACATATATTACATTATTTAAAAGGAGTGTTAGGTTGTAAAGAGATATTACTGAAGATAACATTGAAATTACAGATTAGTTTTAGTAGCACTAGACACATTTTTATTTACGTATACAACCTACATACAGTATGTTGCCTGCTACTTCTAGACGGTACACGGAGGGACATATTATCTCTTTTGGACCGTGTGTCGACAGACATTAACATGGAAACTATTGGTATTAAACAACTATGGTTCGTGTTCATAAGCTTGTGGGTCGAGCTTTTTGCTTCTATAGTTGTAACCTCTTTCACTTTGAATATATAAAGTAGATTTTTTTTAAACGATAGAGGCTAAATATTTTCAACGAGTTATTTAGTTAACTGAATTTTGTAATTTTAGTATCAATTACATTAGATGTAATAGCTTTAAATACTACTATTTCTAATACTCATTAACACCTCAATATACTCGACGATGTTTTGATAATAATTTATTTAGAAAATTGCAAATCTTTTTAAAGTATCTATTTTATTTATCGTTGAAATCCGAGCTATATGATTTTTTTTAATTTAAAATTAAAAAAAAGCAAATTAAATTTCAAAAACAATTAAATCGAAAATAATTGAAAATAAACTTATACAGCTTGAATTGCTTGTTCTATACGACGACCAACAAAGCAAAGTTTATGTTTAGTGTTTGTGGACTTAGTAGAATAATTGCAGCGTAAACGAAGGCTTGTAAAACAACCGTAAGAAATAAACCGTCAATCGTCGTAAAAATTCACCTTGGGGATCTTAAACAAGAAGTGGAATAGTGTTCTTTCTATCCAATTACATGATATGATGATAAAAAAACTAAGAACAATTAATATAAGCATTTAACGCTTTTTAAATGCTTAAAAAAAATGAATTAATGCGTCTTCATTTAGAATATACAAAAGTAGTGTACCAATTACATTCCAAAATCATTTTTGGTTTCAGCGTTCTAAATGTTCATAGGTGGTACTTGGTAGTTTTATTTTATTGACACCCATAATTGCTACTGAAACTAATTTTTTTCTGATGATGTTCTTAATAAATAATATTATAAATACGTATAGTTTTTTATTTCTCTAAAGTAGGAAAGGAACGTTAAGGACCAGCATGTTTTATTTATATGGAGATAGTTTAGAAGTCGTAGAATGACATGTTAAATTTTATTTCGGTACATCAATTGTGTCCCATGGGAAATTACTCTATTGCAAAAAGTAACTTAGGTACGTAGACCAGGCGGTTAAATACTTTGTTTTAAAAATTTATAAAATTCTTCTTTAAATTTTTAAATCTCGGTAGATATACACTAATATACCAACAAGGATGGATGTAAGGGACATCCAAACTTACAAACCCTTTATAATAGTAGGTAGTGATTGGCAGGGCCAAATCCAATTCATTAAATAATATTTATTAATATGTTTACGAGAAGGCAATATACGGCGAGGGAATTGATATAATCCTTTCTGTAAAAGATAATATTTATTTAGATTATCTAATGTGAGTTTGTGTGGTAAGGTAGCAAAAGACTAGTAAAGCTCTCTAGCAATCTTTGATGACAAAAATAAACGAAGAAATGACGAACTAAGTGCACAATATTCATGTAGATTTTTTTCAAATTTAACCTTGATTTAGATTATTATCTAATCCAGAGTTTAATTTCTTTAAGTGTCTAGTATAAAAACATACATACTCATCCTTCATATACTTATATAATTCATAAGTCTTCAATAAAACCAACTGAAGTAAAGGTATAAGTAAAGGTTTATAATTTTCAAAGTATATTTTAATTAATGATGTAGTATGCTTAAGTTCTCTTAACTTCGAGGTTTGTGGTGCAGATATTTCTGCTTAGTAATGAATTAAGTTAGCCGTTGATCTATATCTTTTTTATCAACACCAAAAATATTTTTAGATATATGAATATCTAATAGATAAATATGTATTTTACGTATCAAAATAGATTTCCTATGCGTCGGCTGGCACCAACTTCGAAAATATCTGATTAGGTATCTATTCTAGAAAATATTCGAAATTTTTATAGTAATTCGTCTCTGGAAAGTCTTTTATCCCTCTCACATGACAATAATTTACAGTTACTCATAGTTCAAGCTATTTTGGTGTAAAGATGTTCTACACTCTCAATTACCTATGCAACAATAAGTAAATATATTAAGGCAATGTTTGGTTAACAGAAAATGTAATTTTAAAAGTTGAGTAATGTTATTTAAATCTTATGCAGTATTTCTGCAGAGAAAACCTAAAGCCAAAGCCAAAGAAGTAATATTTTAGTCGAGACCGCATTGAAAATATGTGTTATTTTTCGATTAGTGAATTACTTAGAACTTTCCATGTGTGCTGTGCTGTAGTCCTACGAATGCGAATTTTTCTAAAACATGTTTTATAAAAATAATGTTTATGTAAATAATGCTGTAACTCGTAAGGTTTAATATTAATAGATTCATACGTATGGAATATATTTATTTTTTCATGGCACATTTGAACAAAAGTTAATATGACCTGGTGTGACACAGGTTACTCACTTATTCAGTTTTTCGTATTTTTTCTTAATCTTTTTTTAACTCTGAAATCCAACTGAACTCTTCAGTCTTGACACACTGTAATAAATGTGTAATTTGGCATATGTTATACTGTTTTAGTATCTATAAATAAATAA